ACACACTGAGTCTCAGGGGTCCCAGAGACCCACTCGCTGTCGCCAACGGTGGCCTGAGAAGTCCACGCTGCTCAGTCACGCCTCGCGCTGCCCACAGTGCAGGGCAGGGGTGGGACCCGCCCCTTGGTGTGAGTCAGACTCCAGGCGTCGGGAGCTGGGGAGAGGGGCCGCGTCTGACAGGGGGAGGACAGTGCTGGCTCAGGGCGAGCAAGGGCCCCTCTCCACCCGCCCCTCCTCCGGGGCCTGAGTCGGCGGCAGCCAGGTCTGCACTGCGGGACGGGGCGCAGGGGCAAGGGCACGAGGGGAGGACGGGGGCTCAGTGCTGGCAGAGCGCCTCCCGCCCGCGCCGCCGCCTCGCCGATCGCCAGGCCCCTCCGCCACAAAGACACAAGGGTCAGGAGAAAGCGAGGGCTGGCCAAGTCCACAGAGGCCACGCTGGCCGGGGGTCCGCCCACGACCTGGTCAGGTTCTCCCGGGTCTTGAAGGCTGAGCGCTCACAGCAAGAGGGGGCGCGCGGCATTGTGTGAGATGGCCGTTTCTAGAAATCAAAATATCCCAATTAATTTGGGAAAGCTGACTGCAGAAAGCAGAGACTGGGTGAGGGAAGGCGGTGAAGATGGTGTGGGGGCAAGAATTTTCCAGAAAGAGGATCTGAAGGGATGGAATTAATGGTTTCGGATTGTTCATTTATTTTAACGAACCAGCAGGACCCGGTCACCGGAGCATTAAATAAGCACCCACAGCCTGAGCCAGGCGTGGGGTGCAGGGGAGAGAGGGATCTGCCTTTATTCCCAGCACAACCAGCCTTTCCTCCATTTCACATGTGAGGAGACCGGAGCTTGGAGAGGAGGCGACGCCGGCTCCGTAGGGCCCCCAGGTCCGCAGTCACGGGACCCACGGGCACGTGGGCGACTCCCGGGCCGCTCAGGCGCGTCAAGTGCAAGCTCCGATGACCCGTGGGCGGAGAACGTATCTGCTGCGTTGTCAGCGCTGGCCTCGAGACAGAGGCGCACACGCCACCTTCAGCCGCGGAGCCGGGACTCCGGCGAGCGCCGGCTACAAACACAAACTACAAACGTAGAGACACACACGTTTGCGGTAAGAGAAGATCGTGATGACAGACATCAGGTTTATCCCGCCGCCTTGCAACGTGAGAGAGTCACGCCCGAGGGAGGAAAAGGGCGGAGCCCCACGGGGTGAGCGCGCGGCTGCAGAGCAGCAGGTTCCACAGAGCGGGGACAAGTGTCAGTGCACTTGAAGACTGGGGAGCGCTTAAGGGGGACGAGGACAACGAGGAGGAGTTTCAAGCACACTTGGGATGTCACAAATAACGTGAGGTGCGTGTAACTGAGACCCCAGGAGGAAAAGGAGAGAGGTAACAGCACTAGGAGGAGACGGCTGGGAATTTTACAAAAGTAAAATTTCACAAGATATCAAGCCTTAAACCCAAAAAGATCAGAGAACCCCAAGCGAGTTTATTAAAAGATAAAAGAAAAAAAAGTAAGACACATCATATTTAAAACACTGACAAAGGGAACATCTTAAAGGAGCGCTTCAGGCACAAGCGTAAAGATGGCAGAAACGACACAGCTCAGAAGAGCGCGAAGTGTCTGTCATCTTGAAAGTGCTGAGTCAAAAATAACTCAACACAGAATTCCACCCCCGGGGAAAAGACGTTTCCTAGTGAGAGCAAAAATTTTTAATGTTTCAGAAAAACAGAATCTTGAAATACGACAGACCCAGGAGACCAGGGTTGACCCGGGTGGCGGACCCTCACCTGCGGAACACAGGACACCACCCCAAAAGCAGGGCCCCGGGGAGATAACAAGAATGGGGTTCATTTACACAGGGAGTGAGAAAAGGGAGCGCTGGGCGGGAGAGAGTGTTCACAGGCGGGCACACGGCCAGATGCTGGCTGTCCACACTGCTCAGCATCCGCCGCCGGGCAGAGAACGAGGTCCATGCCAAAGCCGCGGGTGCTGATATGGCGGCTTCTCCACAGACACCCCCTCACCCGCGGTTTATCTGTCAGAAGCCCAGAGCTCAACTGCCTGAAGACCAGGCCGCTCCACCTTCCATCAGCCCCTGCTCGGGGAGCGGCGTTTGGAAAGCGCCTCCGTCTACCGTCCAGGGGCTCAGGCGCCACCTGCTGGCGCGGGGCGCGCGTCCCCTCTCCCCTGACTAGCAGAGGCGCCATCACCTCCGGCCGCGCTGCAGGGAATCAGCTCTACGGGGCAAGACGGCGCGGGACGTTTTTCAGGTAGAAGGAATACGAAACCAGAAAGAAGCTGCACAGAGAAATGAATTGCTCTGGAAACTGTTAAAATGAAGTAAAGTATAGAAGACCTTTTAAACCACTAAACTACTGAGTGTCCACAGCAAAAACAGAAGCCAAGAACTGTGGACTTCCAGCATGTGCGGAAGAAAATGCACACCACCAGCACGGCCGAGGGGGCTCCCTCTGCAGGAGACTGCTCAGCTCTCACACGGCGACGGGGCAAGAAGCGAAGAAGCGTGTCTACGGGAGATGTGCCAGCCCAGACAACAGCATTAGCTGCTTCCTAAAAACAGGACGCCGACGTCCTGCAGCGCACAGAACACGCGTAGGAGGGAAACACAAGGAAACAGCGCAAAGGTCTTGGTCTCCCTGACCAGCCGCACACCTCTGCAGAACGGGGCTCCCGGCGGCGTCCTGAGGACAGCACGGCGAGGCCGCACCTGGACGGCACCGGGCCACGCCTGGCGGGCAGCAGTGCTCGGGGAGTGCTTGCTGCCGGGGTCCGGGCGCGCTGCAGCCCACATCCCGTCCTTTATGTAACAGAGTTAGGCTGTCTTCTCAAGCAGAGACCTACACACACACACACAAATCCAGCCCTGGATGCAGATGTCTGGCCCAGCGCTCACAGGAAGTGGTGAACTGCCGCAGCTCATGTCTCCACAGCCTGGTCTGTAACATAATCGTGACCCCCCTCAGCCCTCACCAGACCCAAGACATGTTTCTGTGGGCACACCACGTGCCCACACATCACCCCAAAACTCAGCCATGTGAGGCAGTAAGTGCTTTCAAAATGTGTGTGTGTGTGTGTGTGTGTATACATATATATATTTATTTATGCATACAAGAGCTGGGGTACAGGCCAGAGGTGAAGGGGGTGAAAAGACTCCCCAGAGACAGAGCGGGGAACAGAACAGGTGGATCCACTGAAATCCACTGCTGAGGGGAGCAGCAGGGAGACAGGAGGGGTCTGCTGCGCCCGGTGGGTCAGCTCCCTGGCCGGGGATGGAACTCCTGCCACGGTGGCTGCCGACAGCTTGATAGTGCTGAGACTTTAGCCCCTTGTGCCACCAGGGAGGCCCCAGTAAGTGCTTTTTTTCTCACACAGATTTTGCTGGTCAGAAATCCAGGAGCGGCTAACCCAGGTGTTTGTGGCTCACAAGGTTGCGGTCAAGTTGACCATTAGGGCCATGGGCATCCGAGGGCTAGACGGGCCCGAAGCACCCACTTCCAGACCCACTCGGGTGGCTGCGGAGGTCTGAGTCTTGACACGCAGCCGCCGCAGAGCTGTTCCTGGACGGCAGCTGGCCTCCCTGGGGTACGAGAGTGGGTGGGGGGCGGGAGGGCAGCCAGGGAGCACCACTTCTGTGGACATTACCGGTCACAGACTGGCCCTCACGCAGGAGTGAGCTCCAGGAAGCCGGGGCTTGCGAGCAAAGGGGAGGGCCTCGCTGACACCGGGCTCTCAAGGAGCTGCAGGGTCATGGCCGCCGGGACCCGCGGTGTGAACACCTCCGCCAGCCCAGGGCAGCGACTCCTGCGCATTAGCAGGCTGGGCCTCCCCCGCATCTCAGGACCTCTGCCATGAATCAGGTCGGCGGCCAGGCCTGCCAGTCACTTCAGGTGTCCTTAGGGTTCATTTCAGAAGGAAGAGCTGGGGACTGTGCAAACGGGGGCCGCCTGGGCCTGCACAGGTCTAATCAGCTTTTTTCTCACGTGGAAGGACGGAAAGAAGGAAAGTTTAGAAACGTTCAACAACCTCGGCGTGAGAAGCGGGGAAGGAAATAAGCTGTTAAACAGGAAAGGAGGCAATGGAGGGGCAGTGGTTTTGATTTTAATCTCTGAACCCTTTACAGAGACAGAACGTAACCGCCTCTGGCTTCCTCCCACGTGCGCCCACAGAACCTGGGCCCTAAGGGGAGCCCCAGGGATCCAAAGCCAAAATGTCACAGTGTCTAGAATAAGTCGCCCACAGGGAGCAGGTGGGTGGATGCGTCAGGGATGGGTGGAAGGGTGGGTGATAGCTGGGTGACGGATGGATGACGGACGGAGGATGGCTGGACGGAGGGTGGGTGGATGGACAGGAGGATGGCTGGACGGAGGGTGGATGGATGGATGAGTAATGGGTGGGTGGGTGGACGGACGGACAGGCTAGTGGGTGGGGAGATGGTGAGAGAGACAGGTGAGTGCACAGGTGCACTGGCTGACAGATGAACACATGAGCGGAGGGGGAGCAGCATCGCTGCTCTGCGTGTGACGTGCTGCCTCCTTCCTTTAGGACAACTACTGGAAATTTCCATCTCTGCTTTCTGCAGTCTTTGACCACAGCTCCACACGAGAGTAAGCTCGGGCTGTGAAACGCCTCTGCTTTTTCTGTGGAGAAACACCTTTTTCTTTCTTGCAAGTGACGCAAAACATTTCACACAGTCACAAACAGATCTGGCACCTCGGGGTCAGGAGCTGGGAACTTCACCAAACACACACATCATTGAGGTTCCCCTGAAATTACAGTTGCCGCTGCTCTGTGCCCGGGAACAAAGCAGTAAGGAAATACCGAGGCCGAGACAGCTCATTACCCGGGGCTGTTAAGTGGCGCGGGAAGACCAGGACTCTGTTTGAAACCAATTAAGAGGCCTCACTCTGGGTGTTGGAACCACACAAGGGGCTGGCACATTCCCTAGCACGTAGTAGGCACCTCGTAAAACAGAATCCCCTGCCCCAGAGATCAGCTGACCCGCCAAGGCGTCTGTCGCAGATCCCAGAGCCCGCCGTACCCGAGGCTGCCTGGGACGCGGGCGCCACGCTCCGCGCTGCGGACATGCGGACAGTCCAGGCCACGGCAGAGGCAGCGGACCTGCTGCTTCCGTTCCTGCTCTTTACTGCAAGGTGCGCACACATAACGCCGACCACCTCGGCCATTTTTCAGTGTACAAAGACCTCGCCCACGGCCCCGCTCGCGCGCACAGGCCGGCCCCTCCCTGGCACCCCCTGGAGAAAGCTTGCGCCGCGCTGCCAGCCACACCGTGATGGGCACGGTCAGCATCTGGTCCCGGGGCCGGATCCCAGGGGGCGCTGCCCAAGGCGGGGAGAAGAGGCGCACGATGCAGGGGAGGGCCCGTGAGGAAGGCCGAGCTGCCTCCCGCCCAGAATGACTAGAAAACTGGACAGACCCCTGCAGCGGCTTTTCTGGACCAGTCCCCTGAGGACTGTGGGGGAGAGAAGACACTCGGCACGGGGCAAGCTATGCAGGCTCCCGCCGTTATCCAGGCTAGGGCCGGTGTCTGCGCCCCACCGCCCCCTCACAGCCACACGGGCACACGGGTCCGGACTGTCTGGGCACCTGAGCAGGCAGCCGGGGCGGGCCGGGCGGGGGCGAGGGCGGGTGGGCGGGAAGGCCTTTTCCCAGCTGTCACCCAGACGGACGCAACAGGAAGCAGCCAGGTGAGGGGCGGCCCCAGGGGGCGGGTCTGGCACTCTGTGGGGATGGAGGAGCCAGGAGGGGCACACGTGGGAAACGTGGGACCTGGCCGAGGTCGTGCTTCCCCACGCAGAGGCGCGGCGGGGGCTCAACGCCCAGCGCTCAGCCCTGACGCGGGCCAGCGTGTGGACGCGGGAGCGGCTCTCGCTTGGGGGCAGGGCGATGTGGGGCTTGGGAACAGGCCAGGAGCCGCCCCGCCCGCCGCTGTCCATCCGCGACGTCTGCGGGGCTCCGGTGGCGCTGCGCGGAGCAAGAGTCTGGACACGGCAGCGTCGTCCCGGGGCGCCCGGCTCGCTCCCTTTATTGAACCGCAGGCAGGGCCTCCCCGGCCCGGACTCCGGCCGCCCGCCGCCCCCGGGTGAGGAGCGGGGCCAGGCGCCCACTCGCCGGATGGCCGATGACCCTCAGGATGGCCTGGACGAAGCTCCGGAGGCTGAGGCCGAGGGGGCGCCGCGGGCCGGGGGCTGGCTCCCCAGCCTGGCGCGGGCGGCTCCTGCTGGTGGAGGGCCTGCAGCTGCCGCCACTTGCTCAGGCGGAGCCCGGCCGCGCACACGCGCCAGCGGTTGTAGCGGGAGCGCTGGTCCAGGCGGTCTAGGCAGGAAGGAGGAGTCAGCAAGGCGGGCGACAGCGCCGCCCCCGTCTGCCCCCACCCAGGCCCGTGAGGAGGCGGGAGGCGGCGGGCGGCCCGGGTGAGGCTGGACAGCCCAGGACAGGACGGCGAGCTGGCCCGGGGCTGTGGTTCCGCCTCCTCCCCGAGAGCCCCCGTGGCCGCCACTTCCACGAGCGTCTCTGTGTAGCGTGGGGCGCGGAGGGCGCGCCAGAGGTCAGGCTGGCGGAGCTGATGCGACGGAGCAGGTGACGGGAGCTGGGGTGGATCCGAGCATTTGAAAGTTCCCGCCAATAAAGGCAGCAGCACCCCAACACGGCCCCGGCGTCTGCGCCCCCACCCCCAGCGGGCTCCAGGCCGCTCCGGCCGACGCGTCGCCTCCTGCGGCCCCGTCCTCCGGCCCTGTCCTCCCGCCGGGGGCTCCTCGCCATGAGCGCAAACGCCCACGCCGGGCGTCCTGAAGCGAAGATGCGCTGTTGAGGTATTTCCCTTATTAAAAAATTCTACCACATGCATATCCACCATGGAGTATCACTCAGCATTCAGAGAAGACAAGCACATGCAGTCTGCAGCGGCGCGGATGGCGCTGGCTGGGATCATGCTCCGCGAAACAAGCCAGAAAGAAAAAGAAAAATACCGGCTGGTCTCACTCAGAGCAGGACTCTAGAAAACCTACATAAGGGACCAGGAAAAAGAACAACTGTAAGAAAGAAAATATAAAAAATCAACAAACAACTATGAACCAGAGACCCACGGGGGGGGCGGGGCGGGGAAAGGAGGGCTTGGGGTCAAAATCAGGGGGTTGCAATTGCACGAGGAATATAAAAATTAAAAAAAAATTTTTTTTCACTAAAAAAAAAAGTACCTTATACTGTTTATCAAAAAAAAAAAGAAACAAAAACAGCGTCCTTAAACATACCATCCCGGTTCCAAAGATGATAAAACGGAAACCCAAAATATGCATCTTAAAATGAACGGACTACCGCATTGACGAGTGCATGACTGAGTGAGTAACCCAGGTCGAATCCTGCGCGTGTCATCCTGAGCTAATCATTGTAATCGTCATTGTCTTGAAATTAGAAAATAAAACCATAGGACTTGCAGAAAAATAAAAATTCTACCACAAAAGCATAGAGAGGACAGGACGTACACCCTGTTTATAACGAAGATAAAAGAAATACAGATTTTTCTCTCTAACATGGGTCTGCGTAGACGGAGGCCGAAGGGCCCGTCTCCTGGAGCCGGAGGACGCGCGTGAGCTCGGGAGGGCACCGCAGTCTTCCGGGACCGTGGGCCCTGCCCGAACCCCGGGCTGCACAACCTTGTGCGGGTTTGCGGTTTGAGACAGCCCGGGAGAAGCGCCTGCAGGATGAAACCACGCTGGGACAGACGGTCCCCCCACTCTCCAAAGCGCACAGGCCGGCGAGCGCTTCCGCAAGAAGCCGACGGGCTCCGGGCTCTTCCTCCCAGAGAACTCACACCCCAGGGTCGCCGGCAGGAGCACACCATCACGGGCGGCTCCGACCCGACACACGAGCTCCTGCTTCTGTTTGGTCATGAAGCACCCCACACCCCCTCTTTGTGGGGTCTTTACCACCCCTTCCTGGCCTGCAAGGTCCCTGCGTCTGTCAGCTCAGACATGTGCCGCCGACACGGGACTTGGGCCCTGTAGGCGCCCAACCGTAGTCCCGTCACAGCTCTGTGGCGCCTGCCTTCCACGCCGTGCACCCCAGGCACCTTGCCAGTCACCCCGCTGGTGCACGCACGGTGTCTAGCAGCAGTGTCCACGCAGTGACAGATGCCGTGTCCAAAATGCTCCCCACTCTGCCCACTTGCCCACTGAGAGACATGGTGCTTCCGATCTGTGGCCGTGGAGTCCCCGCTGTGGTGGGCGTGGGGTGGAGTCTCCAAGACAACACCCACGAGCGGGTCTGCTGGGCCTGAGTCGCGTGCATTAACAAGGGGACAGAACCTTCCCAGAGCCCACAAATGCCGGGACAGCAGCGTGACGAGGTGGGTGTGGCCGGTGGGGTTCATGCCACGCACCCCCAGGCCACCCACGCCCCTTGGCTCAGGGCTCAAGTCCCTCGTGCTCTCAAGCCCCATGCCCGTCATCCGTTCTGGCATCCGTCCACCCCCTCGGGTCCTGCCACAGGGACGCGCTACACAGAGCCGCGCCCAGCAGGCCCAGGGGAGGACACGAGCCCACGAGCCACACCCACATGCAATGCAGGGAGAGCAGGCGTGTGGCTGGCGGCGGCGGAGGCAGGACGTGACCCCGGAGCCAGCGCCCCTGCTCGCTGTGGAGACAAGGAAGGAAAGGCCTCTCGCGTGATGCCTGAGCACGGCGCCCGCGGGAACACAGGCGCGTCAGCACGCAAGCAGTCTGCCCACACGGACCGCGCCGTGCATGTGCGAGCGTGTGGGCACACGTGTCCTGGGCCACGAACAGGAAGGGGGGGACACACTGAGTGCTGAGCGTGTGTCAAGTGTGTGCGTCACGAGCACAGACTGCGTTGTGAATGCGTGAACGGAAGAATGTGGACGGCGTCGTGTTTCTATAAACACACGGGCTGGGAAGTGATGGCAGAGTTTTCTGGGGCGCCCCCATCTAGCAGGCAAGAGAGCAAAGCCACCTGCTGCTGACCAAGGAGCCAGGTAAAGGGGCCACAGCCGCAGACACCCCACCGGGGAGTCTCGGCTCGCGCACTCCAGAAGGGAAGCCAGGAGACCCGGCCGGCCCCGCCAGCACCAGCAGACCGCAGGCAGGACCCCCCGAGCCAGATGCCCCGTCGAGGACAACCACGTCCTCGCGCCTGTGCCTGTGGCTCCTGCCGCGTCCCAACTCGCACTTGCGGCACAGCTCTCGCGGGGCAACCTATCCGCGGCCTCCGGCCCAAGTCCTCACTTGCCTTCCCAGTAACCTCTTGCCTGACCGTCACGGAGCCCATATTTCCAGGCAGGGACACAGGCCCGCAGCGCACACGCGTGTCGCCCCACGCCCGCCATGTGCACACCGTGCCGCGAACCACAGAAGGGAGCCGCGAGCACACACGTCCCGCGGCGCGGCCAGCCCGGCAGCAGAGCCCGGGCCCCCTGGGGTCACTGGGACAGACGTGGGCGAGTGGAACTGCCTGGCGAGAGAGGGCTGGGACGTGCGCCCTCCGGGCCGTGCTCGAGGAAGAGAAGCCCCCGCCCACGCTGTGTCCGCGGGGCCCCACCTTCCTGGGGAGGCGACAGGAGGAGACACGGCGCTGAGTTACCTTGGATGTCTTTAAAACTCTGCTGCCTCTTCACTGCCTGGAAGAGAGAAGGTGGGCAGACGGGGTCAGCCCAGAGGTCGAGCAGAAGGGCCCCGGGGTCTGGCGTGGACGCCTAGGGGAGGGGCCGTGGCCCATGGCGCAAGCCGGCTGGGTCTTCCTTCACGGCAAAACCAGCACTGGACACGGAGCAGGAAGCCTCGCACGGCTGCAGGACACGCGGGAGCAAGGACGGGGCCCGAGGCCGAAGGCCTTCCCCCCCACCTCCCTGGGGCTTCGAGCGCGGGGGAGGCAGAGAGAGGAGGAAGCAGGGGCAGGGGGCGGCTGGCCCCTCAGAGCACTGCAACCCCCCCCTTCCCTACATCACTGAGGACCATAGCAGGGAAGGCACCCCGCACCCCGCCCACCCTCTGGGCCCCTCTCAGGCCTCCCTCTTACCTTCCTGGGCGACCTCAGGACCGGAGGCACCCAGTAGGGCATCGCGGCCTGCCCCCTAGGCATCGGGAGGCGGCCCCCGAAGCGGTGGCAGGGGCAGCGGCACCCCTTGGTGGTTTTGGAGACGTGACACCGCACCGTCTTCTGGACCTAACGGAGGGAAGAGGAGAAGGCCCCGAGGGGAGAGCCTGCAGCACCCCCACTCCCCCCCAGGCACACCCCAACCACTCGCTGGGCTGGGAGCAGGGGCAAGGCCTCCCCGTGGTGACATTCCCAGGGCGGTGGTGCCGGGACTGCCTGGGCCTGTTACCCCTGTATGCGCCCCAGCAGTGGGACCTTCAGGCTCTGTCCTAAGCCTGGCTGTGTCCGGGGGAGGCCCCAGGCCCCACACGCTGCCCCGAGCCTCAGCTCTGGGCTGGGAAGAGGACTCTGACCCACATGGGTCAGCTCTGAGCAAGCAGTCTGACCCGGCGACTCCCCCACTGCATCCCAGAGCCCCAGGGAACGTTGCTCGGGACACCAGCATAAGAAGGTTCCCTGCAGCACCGCAGCTGACGTCCCACAGGAGGGCGCGGGAAAGGATGGGACCTGGGCCCCGGGGGAACTGGGGCGCCTCTGCGGAAGACGAGGACGACCTGTCAGAGATGACACGGGCGAGCAGAGAGGGGTGCGAAGCGGGACCGCAGCCTGTGAGGACAGGACGCTGCAGTGGCCATGAGTGGGCAGGCCGTGGGCCCCGACCCTGATCCCTCCCAGCAGAGCTGCAGGGCCTCCCGGGCCGGCCCTCGCCCACCCGGCGCCATAGGAGGAAGCGGGGCAAAGCCTCGCTGGGCGGCCACAGCCGCTCTCGCACCTCCGTGTCGCCAAGAAGAGACCATGCCTGGTCAGCCCTCCGCCCCCAGGTCAGGGACACGTGGGGCCAAGCAGCCCGGCCTGGCCTGGCACCTCGCCCTCAGACGCCAGCGGGAACAGCGGCGGTCACCGCAGGCCAGCGTGACAGCACTGGGGCAACTAAACACGCACCGCGAATCCCACAAGGGGGGGAGCTGAATCGTGCTCCCCGCGCCCTGTGCCGCTGGACCCCAGCCATGTGCTCACACCACGCCTGAGAAGGGGTGAGAGGACCCACAAGGCAGGAGGACTGAACTGCGGCAGGGGCTTCCAGGCCCAGCGGAGGGGGCTCAGAGGTTGGGCCAAGGAAGAGGCGGCCCCTCCATCTTTGGAGCTCCCACCACCAGCAAGGCTTGCCTGCGAGTCGGTGACCGCCCCCCAGCTCACCAGCATCTGCCGGGCCCACCCCAGGGCGGCGCTTCTGGCAGTCGCCGGACCGCCCTGCCCACCCCCAGCACTGCCGAGGGCCAGAGGACAAACACCAGGAAGTGGGGGAGCAGAGGCTGCTGAGAGAAGACTCCAGGGAGGGGAGGCTTTCTGAGAAGGTCACAGCGGCTGGCCTGGGAGAGGCGGGCGAGCAGTCATGCCTGTTGCAGGCCTTGGAGGATGCGGGCAGCCACGCCCACCACAGGGGCAGGTGAGTCGAGAGAAATGAGGGGATTAGAGCAAACACAGAAGGCGCGAACCCCAAACTGCATCAGGAGCCCAATGCAACAGTGAGTTCACAGTGCAGCACCCACGTACACGTCAGCTGTAAGCAGCTCCAGAGGAAGCCTCTGGCCTCGGCCTCAGCTCAGACCTCTCGGGCTGCGCGGGGACAGGCCCACGGAGCGAGGTCAGGGGGAGGCCATGCCCAGCAGCTGCACGTCGTCAACTCTTAGAATTTCCACTCCTTGAAGGGTTTTGATCAGAGAATAAGAACATGAGCCAGAGACGTGGAGAAACATTTGCAAACTGGGTTTCTGAGGAAGAACTTCCGTCTAGAATCGGCGGAGAATGCTCAAAAGTTAATGAACAATAAAAACCCTGATTTTTCTAAGTGACCAAAATACTTGAGCAGACACACGTCAGGCAAGACACCAGGCGGTGGGAGGATGTGAGGAGACTGCGCCACTGCTGGTCACCCCGGAGACACCCGCTGCACAGGCCCGGGAAGGCTGGGCAGGCCGGGTGTGAGCGAGCGAGACACCCTGCCGCGGGCCCCCTGGAGAAGGGCTGAGCAGCCTCACAGAGTTCAGCCGGCCACTCCAGCCCCACACCCACGCGAGAGCGACGGGGCCAGGCTCACGCCAAGAACAGCACGCAGATGTCCACGGCAGCTGCATCTGCGCAGCAGAACCAGGACCGCCAAATGCCATTCCCTGCACAGACGGATCACGTGGGCTGGTCACACGCTGGGAGCACCACCTGCGAGAAAGCAGTGGGCCGCCAGGCCGCAACCACATGGGCGAGCCCCAACATGCCGCGGGGAGGGAAAGCCAGACAGCGCGTCTATCCAAAGTGCCTCCCAGAGATGTCAAAACATCCCCACATAACACATGGCTCTGAGGGGTGCCCGGTCCCTTGAAGTTCACCCTGAACCCAGGTGAAGACCCCCTGGGCCAAGTGACTTACCTGCCTGCGGGGCCTCAGCGACAGAGGGACCCAGTAAGGCAGCGTTGCCTCAGCCCTGGGCACAGGCAGTCGGCCCCGGAACCGGGCCTGGCACTCGCAGCAGACGGGCCGGCGGTGAGCAGTGCTGGTCATGGGGCACATCTGAGCAAGAGCAGAGAGACAGGGTCAGCCACTGCTGCAGCGAGTCCAGGGCCGGTCTGGGGCAAGGAGGCAATAAATCAAGGCCCCGCTGCAGCTCAGAAAGAGAAGGCACCTCCAGGGTCCACAGAGGGGACCGGGAGAGCCCCCACCAGGTGCGCTGTGACTCGCAACCACTCACAGCAAGGTGCCTTCATGGGTCAGGTCCCCTCGTCACTGCAGAAGTGTGGCCTACTCTAAGGGGAGGAGACCGCGCCGTTGCTAGTTGTGTGTGTGGATCAGGCGCTGTTCACTCACAAAAGGGTTCCCCATCCACCCTGCGGGGTCTCCCCCCAACTCTCCCCATCCACTCAGGTGGGATGGAGCAGGGAGGCGAGCTCCCTGGGCAGGGAGAGATGATGCCCAGAGCAGGCATGTTGTGGGCAGCGCTGGTTCTCCCAGGTCTCCTGAGTAGCTGGGGTGAGGGTTAGTGGGTGGATGGGTGACCCCACACAGAGACCTCTAGGCCCAGGGAAGGCCCCCTAAACCACAGACACCTGTGTCCGGCACATCCTCTCACAAGCTGCCGCCTCTAGACCCACACTCCCTGCTGCCGCCATCCCACAAGGTGGGCTGGGGTAGAGCGGCGCAGAGTCTGCTCTCCTCACCAAGCGGTCAGTGAGGAACTCTTCTTTCCCAGAGGTCTGAGGTGAGCTCTTCCTAGAAAAGAACAGAAAGTTTGGAAAGTGGGGGAAGGGCAGCGAGGCAATAAATCAAGTGGGGGCAGGAGCACAAGCCTTCAACTCCAGGGCTGTAAAGGATTGCCCCGCTGAGCCAAAGAGCGGGCAGGGTGACGTTAGAAGCAGGGGTGTGTGCTTCCGTGCCAGCCCTGGGGTTCCAGAGCTGCAGCTGTTGGGGTACACCCCAGCCAAAGCCGGGGTGTAGGGATGGGCTGACCCGACAGCTTCCAAGAGGGCACTGCCAGCCGAGGCACCGCCAGCCAGGGCAATCTCCCAGGCTGCTGGGAAGGCCCGAGGGAGGCTACAGCTCTGCAGCAGCAAACTCCCCCCACCCACTTGTGGGCCGCTGGCCAGGCCAAGGACATGGAGCTGAGCCAGTGTCCAGGAAGCACCGGGTCGGGGTGATGGTAACTGTCAGGGCGACGCTGTGCCTTTGGGCTTCCCGCGTCACAGGAAACGCTGCAGCCATGGCTTTGCCAGGGGACAGCTTTGGGCCAGCACCCCCAGCCGAGGCTTGAAGACAGAGGACGGGCTGAGGACGGGCTGAGCCCTGCGCCCAGTCCCAGGCCCTGCTGATGCCCCAGGGTTTTCTGGTTGTGGGTGGAATCTCGTTCCCAGGCAGCCCCTGCTCGGGCCTGGAAGCAAGACCCCTGATCTCAAGGGTGCAGAACGGCGCCCCCACAGTGGGCGAGGACACTCGAGTGGGGACAGGACTGAAACAGGGAAAGAGAATCCCTGTCCTGTGGGGGCTGCAGGCCTCGGGGTCTCGGCAGGCCTCACCCCGAGGGGGACCCGGTGAGGACAGCAGGGCTGGGCGCCCCCGGCCGCGCCTGAGCGGGGACTGCTCGGAACCGCTCCCCGCGGGCGGCTTCTGTCCTGCCAGTGAGGCACAAGCTGCAGGGGGCACAGGTGACTCGGGGTGGAGCGCCGGAGGCGGCGGGGGGGCGGGGCTCCCCGGGTGACTCGGGGGCGGGGCTCCCCGGGTGACTCGGGGGCGGGGTGCCGGGGGCGTGTCCGAACCCCACACTCAGGGGTGCCCTTGCCTGTCATGACGTGCTCGGGCTGTGGGTGCGTCCCACAGACCGCACGGACCCCGAAGGCCCCCGAAGGGCCCGCCGCGGCTCAAACAACGTCGCGGGGACGGTGACGCTGACGGTCGCGACAACAGCGGCCGCCGAGGGGCGCGGGGGCTACGTCACAGCCCCTCCGCCCGGGGCCCGCCCCTTCCTCGCCGGCCTCTCTGCGCACGCGCCGCGCCGCGCCGCGCGCATGATTGGTCCGGAGTCCGCCAATAGACTCCCGCCGTCTAGCCAGGTGGGCTCGAGTGGCCGCCGATTGGCCCTGCCGGGTCACGGGGCCGCGCCCGTCGAGGGCCGCGCGGGGATTCGCCGTCTCCGCGGGGTGGGCGGTGCGACGGGAGGGGGCGTCTGGGCTGGCGCTGCCGGCGGGCCCCGCTCGGGCGTCGAGCGCGCGGGCTGTGGGGCGGGGACGAGGGGGGCGCCCCGGGGCGGGGGGCACCCCCACCGGCGCGCCGGGGCGAGGCCGAACGCAGACGGGACGTGCGGCCGCCCGGGGCCGCGGGGCTACCGCAGACGCGCCCCCCCCTTGCCCGTGTCTTCGCGCTCGCGCCGCACGCCCGTGAGGCGGAGCTCGGCCCGCGCCACGGCCAGCAGCGGGGCCCCGGGGGGCGGCCCGCCTCCGAGGAGCACAGGGCCCGGCCGTCAGGACCGTGGGCAGCAACGCCGCGCCCGCTGGGCCCTGCCGTGGGGGCCGCGGACGTGCCGGACCCCCGCGCGGGTGAGAAGCGCCTCGTGGCGCAGGACAGAGATCCCGGGGCCCGTCGTGACCCGGCCGGGCCGCGGGCGACCCCCCACCCAGAGCCCTGGGGTGGACAAGGCACGGAGCGGTCATCCTGGGGGGCGCGGCCTCAGCGACACCCCGGGACCGCGCTGGGCGCCGCCGCCTCCCGCTCCCCGACATGCCTCCCCCGGCCTTACAGAGCGGGCCCGAAAGCAGGCGGCCAGCCCAGCCCCGTGCCGAGCCGGGGGGGAGCAAACGCGCCCGCGCGCCGTGGGAGTGAGTGTCGCACGGGGATCTGACACACTCGCTTTGGGATCTCACGTCCCTAGGGGCTTCCTGGGTCTCTGAGGGGTGCGGTCCCTTCCCAGCCGGGGACCCACACTCTGGGCCAGGCACTCCCACACCGTGTTCCTGGTGAACAGCCCGTGGAGTGTCCCGTGATGGGTCCCCACTGGGGGGCGCCACTCTGCAGCCCATCCCCTCCCCGCGGGGCCACGGACCTCCTCGCCATCCCGCACTCTACCTGCCTCTCAGGCCGCTGCATTCCCGAGCTCTCTGCTGAGCGCCCTGGCCTCCCTTCCCCTCTGCTCTGCGTCCTTCCACAATCTGTGGGAGACACGATGTCACCATCACCCTCCTTGTCATCAGCGCCAGGCAACCAGCCTGTCACCGCAGCGGGTCACTGCCCTCCCGCGCCCCTGTCCCACGGCTTCCCCTGCCAGCACCAGAGCAAGCCAGAGAAGACAGGGGCTCTCGTATCTGGGAGCTGCCTCCAATGGAACCGTGGAATGTTGGGACAGAGGGGAGAAGCTCCGTGGTGATGAGCCCCCCACTCCCACCCCACCCCCCCGGCTCAGGCAGCCTCTGCCCCCATCCTGGTTCCTGTAGGTCCAGAGCCTTGAGGGTGGCGGGGTCTGGTGAGGGTGTCCTGGGCCTGGTCAGGAGGCCTCAGGGTGCACCTCTCCTCTGCTTCCTGGGCTCCCCGGGGGGCACAGCTGTGGCCCTGCACGCCCTTGCCTGCTGTCCACGGTGATCATGGCTGCTGTGACGTGGACTCCAGGGTGGAGCACCTAGCAGCCAGGACCCCCAGAGCCAACCGCCTGGGGCACCCAGAGACAAGAGCAGTCAGACCTAAGCACCCCCCCCTTCTCCTGTCCTCCCACCCCCGCCCAGGACTCCCCACCAATGTCAGTCCAGAGCATGTCCAAGGCCCTGCCAGCTCTCACCCAAGCCCCTCCCAGTGCCACAGCTCCCCAGCCGCCTCCTGCTGCAGCCCCTTAACCGGCAGCCACAGCCCCTCTTGGCCTCAAAGCAATGAAGATCTTGTCCACACACAAAACCTGCAGAGCAGTTTTTTTTTTTTAAGATTTATTTATGCATACAAGAGCTGGGGTACAGGCCAGAGGTGGGGGGGGGTGAGAGGATTCACCAGAGACAGTGGGGAGCAAAGCAGGTGGATCTACTGAAATCCACTGCTGAGGGGAGCAGCGGGGAGACAGGCGAGGTCTGCTGCGCCCTGTGGGTTGCGCCCTGGCCAGCTTGGGATCGAACTCATGCTGCAGTGGCTGCAGACAGCTTCACAGGCTGCGTCTTAACCCCTTAAGCCACTAAGGAGGCCTAGCAGAGCAGTTTAAAATCTCCACCGGGAACAGCCCCAACCTCCACAGCAGGAGTGCAGGCAGTGTGCCCACCCCAGGGAGGCTGCGGGCGGGCCTCTGCACACTTGGCGTGGCAGGCGTGGCTCTGGGAGCGAAGCAGGCCCAAGTACCTATGTGCACCGGCTCGTAAGCCACCTGCTGGGATGTGGCGTTTCACGGGGGCTTCCTGGAAAGGAGGCAGCCGTGGGGGCTGGAAGGGCCTGTGGCTGCCGGCGCGCCTGGGTGACACCCTCCGCGGATGCTCAGCACAAGAGGCACGCTTGCTACAAGGTGACCGCGCGCACAGGAGGCGGTACCCGCCCAGTTTTCAGGACGGCCTTTCTCACCGAGGGACCCCGGGCAGTTGCTCAAAATCACCTGCCCCGGTACCCTCCGGTGGCAGCTCCCTTGCGGCTGGGCGCCCGGCGGGTCACGTGGGCAGTAACCCGGCATGTCCACTAGAGGGCAGGCTGCAAAGACAGCTCGGACCAGCGTCCGGGGCGCCGCGGTCCCAGACAGCCTCCGGCAGGAAGTGACCTCCAGGTGGAGGAAGGGCCCACCTGGGGGACATGGCGTCTCTGCGACCCCACTCAGCTGCGCTGGGGACAGGGACACTTACCTGGAGCTCAAAGGGGGCAGTGAGGGAGTCGATATTGGGGTCCCCAGGGGCCACCCAACACCCTGCTCCCTAGCGGGGCCAACAGAAGGCTGAGTGTCACTGGCAGTGTGAGACGTGCCCCCGCCCTGATCCCCCAGTGACCCTCCCTCCCACATCCACAGCCTGCAGCATAGGACCCGCCCCACCTGGGTCCCGTCCCAGGAGACAGAGCACCAGCACAAGAGGTTTCAGAAGCTGATCTATGGAGAACAGACGCCGCCCGGTCACGCAGCAGCTCCCGGAGGCCTATCCTTCCCTGCACCTGCCTGACAGCAGCCAGGACAGCTCTCCTGGGCGTGGGGCCCAGCACCCGCCCACCCCCAGAGCGCACTCCTGGGCCCACAAACCCTGGCTCCCTGCCGAGTCCCCAGCCCTGCAGGACCCGGCCTCAGGCTGGCAACGCTGTCACTGGATCCCCATTCACGCCAATGGGGTTGTGGTGGAGGCCCGCTGAGTGCCGCTCCTCAAGCTCACGCCCCGAGGGGGAAGTCTGGCTGACGTGGCCTCAGGGGCCTCTCTCTGGCCACACCAGCGCCCACCCACACGCGCCCTGGAGTCAGGCCAGGAGGGCAGGTGGCAGGACGGAGCCCTAGAGAGCCCATGCGGGCCGCGGCACAGGCGCCAGGACGGGGCGGCTCTGCTCCCACCTCCCTGCAGGAGACCGTCAGCAACGGCCGGGTGGCTCAAGGGGTCTCTGCCCGGTGCCGGCGGCGGGGACTGCCTGTCCTGAGAAGCCGGCCTCCGAGCCCCCTGCTGGCCTGCACCTGGACAACGGTCTGCCCGGAGGCCTTCCTGGGACAGCAGCGGGTGGGCAGCTGCAGAGCGCGTGCAGCCACCTGCACAGGGAGACGGGCGGAGGCGGGATGGGGTGCTCCTGCCTGGAGGCGGACGCCCGCGGGCACCGCCAGCCCATCACAGGGCTGAGGAAAACGAGGCCACTGGCCTCAGCCTTGCAGAAGGGCCACCCCAGCCCACACAGCTCACTCTGCCCCCTGGGTGGCCCAGGGTGGACATGCCGCGCTGCAGCACCTCCCGCCAAAGCCAAGGGGACTGGCTGTCGCAGGCAGGGGCCGGGAAGGGCTGTGCCAAGAGCAGGGAAAGGTCCCAAGCCCCCCCCACCCACTCAGGTTTCCACCTGCCAGTGCCCCGCGCAAGCACCACAGGGCAGCTGGTCCCTAAATCAGGTCATTCGCCCTCACTTACCCAGCTCCCGGTCGCCTCATGCTCCACACAAGCAGCGGATCTGGAAGCCCCACCTGCGGTGTCCACGGTGGACACTGGAGGCCGCTGGGCTGCTCCAGGGAAGAGCAGGCCCTCCGCGCCCCTGCCCACCAGGAAGCCAGCGGCCAAGGGCACATTCAGGAGTGGACGAGCCTCAGCCCTCACCGCTGCTGGCCAGCCTGCAGCCCCAGCCCCGCACCGACGTGGACACCACCCACAGCCCCGGCCAGCCCACGAGACTGGCCTGCTCGTACATGGAGCTTTCGTCAGCGGCTCACCTTCCAGGGCGCTGAAGGCAGCCTGGCACCCCGGACGTCCTGGGCAGACACACCTGCCTCCACCCCCTCCTTCCACGACGCTGCTTGCGGGGCCAGGCAGCTGGGCACGACCAAGCACTCAGGCTGGTCTGCAGGGGGCCTGCTGGAGGAGCCCCCGCCCCCCTCCGCCGGCCACCACGCAGCCCAGGCCCGGGGATGTTCCGTTTTGAAAGGCCAGTCGGGGAGAAAGGGTCGGCACACCGGGCACCCATCAGGGCCCCAGGCTGGCCTCCAGGAAGGGCCCCTGCCCCGCAGGACAAGCACCAGCGGGGGCGCAGCCTCCCGGGCACAGTGAAGCTGCAGCAGGCAGGGCCGCAAGGCAGCTCTACACGTGGGGGCGGCGCAGGACAACCCGCGCCAGGCTAGAGCCGGGCCCCACGGGCATCCCCAGTGGGCCACCTTTCTGGAGAGCTGCGCTCTCGCCAGCAGACGAGCCTCCGGGGCCCCCACACGGCCACGCGGGCACATGACACTCGCGGCACCGGCGTGTGGACGGACCACGCGGCTCTGGCCGGCCGAGGGCAGGGTAGGGGCGGGACGGCCGTGCAAGGTCTGGCTCTAATGCTGCGGCGTCCCCGCTCCAGGCCTGCACCGACCTGTGTCCCCCGCCTCGGCGGCGATCTCAGGCCGGGTGCAGCACTTGCTCCAGATTCCAAGTGGGCGGGTAGGGAGCAGGGTTCAGGCGGGGACCCAAGTCCAGCACCCCCGGCTCCTGGGAGCTCCCTCTCCACCCGCCGGTCACTGACCCTGGACCCCGGAAAGTGGACCGTGCAGCCGGCACATGCGGACACACGCACGCACATGAGCACGCAGCCACACACACAGACGTGTGTACACAGGCACACAGCCACACGCACACCGCGCGCACACCCCTTTCTCCTCAGGCCACAGCAAGACTCTAGCACAACATGAACTTCCCTAAAAGAGGGTTTTGTTTGCCGGACAAACGCCACCAGTCAAGGACAGACCCAGCATCTGCTACTCGATCACGGACACAGCCACGGCCGGTCCCGACGGGCCTGGCCTGGTCCCGTGTGAGAGACACGCTGTCCGTCTCCACCGCGCCGCGGCGGGGCCGCAGCTGCCCACAGGGGGGTCTGGTCAGTCTCCAAAGTGCATGCTGCTCTGGCCCGCAGGCCCGGGCCATCAGGAGGTGAGGGACTGAATGTTCTTGAGCATCTCCTCGAAGGCCTGCGGGGACGGCGCGGCCGCGTTCCGGAAGCTGGCCTGGACCCTGCTGTACAGGCTGAAGGACTTGAGCTCCAGCCAGATGAAGCCAAAGCGGTCCTCATCGAACAGGATGAAGACCCCGGGCGTGCGCTCAGGGCTGGTGAAGCCGTGCCCGGCGATGAGGCCTGTGCCATAGAAACTGGGCAGACAGGAAGGAGGGCGTGGGGGGTGGGGGTGAGCGAGGCCTGGGGCTGCGGTGCCCCATCCAGCCCATGTCATCTGCGGGGCTCCCCACACCCCACCTCATGCCGGCTCGGCAGACAAGGATGCCCCGAGACCTGCCTGCTCCTCCAATGTCCCACACTGATCGCCTGCGTGGGCAGGGGTCACCTAGAGCTGGCCGCAGCACCCAGCTCACCCAGCTAAGGGGCGGGGCTCCGTCCCCATCAAGAGGCCCAGGTGGCAGGTCCCAAAGGCTGGAAGAGGGACCCGCAGGGCACAGCCATGCCACCATGGCCAAGGCCCCGCCTACCCCTCCCAGAGATGGCACTTCCGGGTCAGGGGCCGGCCTGAGTCTCACAACCCCAGGAGGGCGCTCAGGCCCAGCACCGCGGCCCTGCTGAGTAGAGACCAGCACCCCACATGGAGGGCTTCTGGGCCCTGCTCAGCAGGTGGCGCGAGGCCAGGACGCAGGCCAGAGGCCAGGGCAAGGCGCTACCAGCTCTCAGCTGCTGGGGAGGCCCAGAGGCGCCATCTGTGGGCCAACAGCTGCTGAGAGGGAGCACCAGCTGGGCCATGTGAGGACCCCTTTGCACAGCCTCTCCTGAAAGCCAGAGCTGCTCCACTGCAGCTGTGCAGCGTGAGGTGAAGGGGTGAGGCCCAGCCGCTGAGCTGTGTGGGCACCTAAGGGGGTTGGGCATGCCACCCCCTTCCACGGCGCACCTGGATGCCCAGAGGCCCTGCAGGCCAGGATGCCAGGAGCCTGACACAGCTCCCTTTGCTGCCCCCAGGGTGACTGCACTGATGGAATGTTCCAGACCTGTGCTGTCCAACACAGTAGCCATGGAGCGCCTGAAATCAGTCCCAAGCCTGAGGACCTCAGTTTCTACTTTTGTTCGTTTTAGTCCTTCTCAGCTAACACAGCCCCAAGGTTGGGAGCTGGGCCAAGGTCTTGCTCACGGCCCAGACAGCAGCCCGCAGGGCGCGGCAAAGACCAAACTGGCAGGACAGAGCCAGGGAGGGGAGGGTGGCCGCGGCCGCGTCGCAGCTCAGGGACCCTGCTGGACAGGGAGTGGCGACACCGGCCCTTCCCACGCCCTCTCTGGGCGGCAGAGACTTCGGGAAGGCAGTGTGGGCTCCACAGGTGGGTGGGCCCCAGCTCCGGCAGCAGCAGGAGCAGGGGGAAAGCTTTCTCGGGGGTCCTTCCTGGCCACCGCCGTGTCCGAGGGAGCCAGGGCCTGACCTCGCCACCTTCTACCATCCTGGCTGCGATGCCAGGACCCCCTGCACCTGGCGTTCCTGATCACCAGGATCTGAGGCTCCCCGGGGTGAACACGGGGCCCCGTGAGCCTGAGCCTGGGCAGAGCGGCCGTCAGGACACAGCCACGTCCCCGCAGGCTCCCCAGCGCAGGCTCCCCGGCGCCCCGCCCTTACCAGGCCCTGTAGGTGCGGGGGTAGTCCTCATTCCTCGAGCTCACGCCCCCAGGCAGCACGAAAGGCAGCCCCTGCCCAGACTGGGCCGGCTGTTCGGCCGCAGCCGCTTCGTCCTTCTTGGCGAGCAGCTCCGCGCCGGGCTGGGCAGTGCCCCGGCCCTCGCCATCCTGGGGCCCGGCCTCCTCCTGCTGCTGCTCCTGCCGCGCCTGCTCCCGCGCCTCCAGCACGATGCGGGACAGCTCGTTGAAGCTGCGCAGGTTCTCCACGTCCGGCAGCTGGATGCGGCGGGCCAGGTCGATCTCCACGGTCTGCTGCCCGGCGGGGATGTTGGGGTCACCCTGAGGAGTGAGGGCTGGCAGTCAGTGCGGAGCGCAGCCAGCAGCCGCCTCTCGCCATACATGCTCGGCCCACGCTGCCACGGCTCCCAGCCCCTCGCGCAGAGCCCAGGGCCCAGGGAGCCCATCAGGGAGGGCTCTTTGACAGGGCAGCATCCACCAGTGCCCCGGCCCCCACGCTCACTGGTCAGCCCACAAGGCCGTGCCGCATCCATGGGCCTGGGACAGAGGCGCACAGAGGCCAGGGTGGTGGTAGGGGGGCCGGCAGCTGGTTCTGCACTGGCAGCAAGGGCCTGGGCACAGCGCGGCCTGGTCACACTGAAGGACTAAAATGAATAAAAGCCCTGGGGGCAGCCCGGATTCACCGTGATCTTGGTGCCCCGGGCCCGCCGCCCGTGGAAGCTGAGCATGACGATCTCCAGGCCGTGGCTGCCGTAGGTGCCTTTGAAGAGGCCGGGCCTGATGAGGTCGTCAGGGTGGCTGGGCGGAAGGTAGATGCGGCGGTAGGTCAGGCAGTTGCTGCAGGGCAACGGGTGGCGTCAGAGTCCAGAGAGCTGTACCGGGGCACGCACACAGGGCCACGGCAGGTGCCTTGCTCAGTGTGGGGCAGGGAAGCCAGCCCTGCCGTGACCCCAGACAGGGCCCCTGCGAGGGGGTGCCCCATAGGGTGCTCGGGGGTCCCTGGGGAGATAGGGCTCAGGGACAGAGGCCAAGGTCCCCAGGCAGGGGAGCAGCAGTCCCCGCTGGGACACAACCCCGGCCCCGAGCGTGCCGCTGGCGAGAGTGGTGCGAGACAGAGAACAGGTGCCAGGGTGGGAGGGGACAGGCCCACAGGGCCGCGCTGGGCACCTACTCGTACTGACTGGTGTAGATGAACTTCATCAGGATCAGCTCCTGCATGTGCTCGTGGAAGATGTCCTCCAGCGTGCGCCCCCACTCTTCCCGCAGCCATGTCCGGAACTCCTTCAAGAGAAGGCAGGGCCGTGGCTGCGGGGGGCAGACCAGCAGCGCGGCCCTCACGAGGCGGCGACGGGAGAAGACTCCAGGCCCGTGTCCTGCCTTCCCCCACCGAGGCCGCAGCTCTGGGCCGCCTCCCGCAGCACAGGCCCAGGCCCCGCAGAGGCGGCGGGGATGCGAGCTGCCTGGAGCCAGGACGGCAGCTGTGGGGCCTCGCACTGGGCCCGCGTGGCAGGACACCACACAGCCTCAGAGCGGCTCCGGGGCGTCCAGGAGTGGACACACAGCAGGTCGGTGGCCCCAGCTGTCCTGTGCAGCTGCCGCCAGGAACACAGTCTGCACCGGCGCGGAGACTGGGTTTCATTTTCCTGTTCAAACGTATCTTCGCGGCCATGGCGAGTGCTGAGCAAGCATCTTCGCACAAAGGAGCTTTTATGGACAACGTGTCCCTGAAGCCCAAAAGCCCATTATGGGATCAAACAGAGGAAGGACATTCGGTGCTCAATAGTTCCATTCTGCACATTTAACGTAATTCATCCAGAGCCCCGAACTCCTCACTCAGTACAGTGTTTCTAATGATTATGCAGAATTAGTTCCACGAACAGAGGCAAAAGCAATTTGCCAAAAAACCAAGAGCCGCATCCACCAATTGTTTTGATCGTCGCTGCCCAAACTAGTACCGTGACCGACTACACAACTCTCAGAGCTAACAGGTCAGGGTGCAACTCACACATGACCGCCACCGACACAAACCAGCTGAGCTTGCACACGAGCAGCACCTCCCACACGCAAAACTGGGAAATGAAAGTTTTTATATCTGACTTACAGCAGACTCCAAAACCACAGAGTTTCGAAATAAACACTGCACCACAAGGGCAAACCACAAGACACAGCGGGAAGGAAGGAAGACGTCTGCACCGCGGTCTGGGCTGTGTACGGAGCGGGAGGGTGGGTGCTCATCGGCAGCTCTCTCCAAACTGACCCCCAGGGCCTGCGCCGTGCCCAGCACACCCCCACCAGGCTTTCTGCAGGAACCGTCAAGATGGTTCCAAAATTCCCGTGGTAATTAACAGAACCCAGAAGATCGAAATTAACCTCGCAAAAAGCAGAGCCGGGCTGGAGGGCCCACTAGCTCACGTGAAGACTACGATAAACTCGCCCGGTCAAGAAGGGGTGGCCGGCCGGCTGGCAAGCGCAGCCTGGCGCAGGGAGAGACACAGGCTTGGCTTGTCAGGTCCCCTGACCGTCAGCCAGGCATCCAAGCCTCCCGGCGGGGAGGGACACCTTCATGAAAGGCGTATGAACAACTGGACATCCCCACAGAGACACAGGCCCAGTCCCTACCTCAGCCACACACGAAATAATCCACAACGGGTCACAGAGCCAAACAGCGCATGAACACACCAAACACCTGCGCGCCGTGGGAGCGGCAAAGCGCCGGAGGACACGCAAAGCTGTAAGCGTGAAAGAAAAACTTGAGAACTATTTGCCATGAGGTGAACTCATGAAGGAGAAGCCCCAGAAACTTCACACAAGTAAGAGGGCGCAACAGAGGTTAGCGCAGGGCTGTCACGCTGCCACGGCAAGCAACGAGCGAGACACAGGGCATGAAGTGGGCCTGGGAACGGTCATGGTCTTCCCGAGTGGAAAGGTCAGCGCCATCAGCAATGCCAGCCAGACCCAATCACTCAGAAGAAAGACCTTGGACATAAATCTGCTGTGACGCTACCGCACAGACCCAGGCAGGAGAAACCCCAGTGCTCCGCACAGAAGTTGGGCTGACTGACCGCTCCCGGGCTGGGCTCAGCACACCCCTCATCAACTTTCACCTGCGCAGCTGCCGGGAGATGGGCGCTGGCACCTGCCCTTTCTAGAGGTTTGGGGCTTGGCATTGGGAAACCTTTCCAAAGTCACGCAGCTAGTGGGCAGCAGAACCAGAGCTAATCCAATGTCCACATGCTGATCAGTCTTGTACCCCTGCCCCTGAGGCCAAGGTCAGGGCTAGGGCTTGGCCATGGCTCCCCACCGCAGGGCTACGAAGGAGGACCAGCATAGTGACTATATTGAGGGCCTCCCCTGGTGGTGCAGGCGGTTGAGCGCCACACGTGAAGCTGTCTGCAGACTCTGCAGTGCGGGTTCGATCCCAGCCAGCCAGCGAGAATCCCACATGGCGCAGCAGACCTCTCCTGCCTCGCCTGCTGCTCCCCTCAGCAGTGTGTTTCGTCAGTCTGCCTGTTGTGTTTCCCGCTCTGTCTCTGGTGAATCCTCTCACCCTCCTGCGCATCTGGCCTGTACTCCGGTTCTTGTATAAATAAATAAATCATTAAAAAAGTGACTATATCGAAGAAGAACAGCGAGGAGCAACCCCCAAGGCAGGGGGGTGGCATGCACAGCAACTCGATGGTGAAAGGTGGAGCTTCCCAGATGCCACCCCTGCGCAGGTGCTGCTGGGATAGCAGCTGAGCTGCTGCGGTGCAGGCAGCGGAGAAGGTCTGTGGAGAAGCCGCGAACCTGCCGCGTGTGGCTTCAGCTTGGACCTGGGTCTCTGCTCAGCGGAAGCTGTCTGGGGCAGGACAGACGGCCTCCGGGCCGTGCCAGCCTGTGAACTATGTCTCTCAAGTGTTCTCCCTTTTCTCACTCCCTGTGTAAATAAATCCTCTAGTTGCTGTTTCTCACCATGTGTCTGATTTGGGGTTCCCGTATCCCTAAACACGGAGGTGAGAACCCACCAACAGTGTCAAATGGGTCCCCGAGGTTAGTCCTGTTTCAACCTGGAGCATCTCCCGACCCTTCCACCCAGCACCTCCAGGCTGGGCGGCCCCGAGCGCTCCAGCACACCTCCTGCCTCCCGCCAGGCATCCTGTGGTGGTCCGTCTGGTTGCACTTGGTGGAGAACTCGTCCTTCTTCACGATCTTGAGCATCGACGACAAAGGAAAAGGGGAAGAATCAGCTGCAGCACCCCCAGCAGGCTGCACCCCCATCCCTCCCTGCTCCCCACACCATACTCATCACAGAAGCCTAAGACGCTGCCACACCGTGGCTTCCTTCTCAGAAGGTGCATCTAAGAGTCCTGTGTGCTAACCGGGGGGTATGTGAGAGCAGCACAAAGGGGCTGGCACCTCTGGGGTACAACTGAACACACACTTGCTTATCGGGGTGGCATTTCCAGACCAGTATCGGTCAGCAGGGCCTCTGAATGCAAGCTGGCGTCCTTGCACCGAGGAGAAATAGGAACAGTGGGCGTGGTGGCTGCCAAGTACAAACGCTCCACCCGCGAGGAGACTGCACTGGGCTGCAGTGGGGACTCCAAGGAGTCACATCCCAGCATGGAGGCAGGAGGAGCAGGGAAGGGGCGGGGGCCCGTCCCCATCCCCAGTGACCTGCGGGGGGACAGGTCTGTTGCCAGGAAGACCACAGCGAACCACCTCCGGGCCTGGCCCACCCCACCATGGCCCGCCCCTCACCTGGATGTGGCCGTTGTGCGGCCCGCGGTGGCCGTACATGCACTCCACCGTGGCGGACTTCCTCTCCATCAGGTGGATCCTAAACAGAGGCTTGAAGCGCATGGGGTCGTCCACGTGAGGGTCGTGGGGCGGCAGGTACATCCAGCCGATAATGAACAAGCCATCCACCTGCATGGGAAGGGGCCGGGGGCCGAGCTGACGGAGGCGCCTCTGCCCACTGCCTCTCCCCGCCATGTGGGGCGCCACATTGGGGCGCCTCGCCCCCCACACGCCCTGGCTGGCGACGCTGTGTAGCACTGAAATCCACTGAGAGTGGAACTTAAGTCTCCTCACTCAAAAAGGATGTAAAACGAGGTGAGGGGTGTGGGAGTTAAAAAGACGGGGCAGCTCGCCGTGGCGTACATGAGCCCTGCACTACACCTCGTGGTCTCACGGCGTTGTCAGCGGCACCTCAGTGAGACTGAACAACCTTCTTTTCCGTGGGGGAAAACTGAGGGTTGGGGTCAGAGAGAAACAGCAGAATGATCTGGCAAGTGAAACGCCCGGGGGGGCAGCTGACCAGAGAACTGGGGAGAGACCTGGGAGGCAGGACAAGAGCCGCTGGTCGGGCCAGCACGGCCCAAGACACGGCTGGGCGCGGCCACATGCCCGGGTGACCGGGCGAGGACACGGCAGGAAAAGACCCACATCGCAGGGAGACAGGACTCGACGAAGGCCGGGCCGGGCCGGGAACGCTGCAGGACCTGCGAGGCCTCGTGGGAGACCCGCCGCACCGCATGCCCCAGGCTGCGGGACCGTGGGTGACACGGACACGGTAGTGGGAGGAACTGTGTCCCTGTCTCAGGCTCTCCGAGGGTGGCACCCATGAGCAGGGGCGGCCTGCAGGCCCACGTAGTAGCCAGCCGGTCTGCCCGGCAGGGCCTGGGTCCGGGGCTTGGCAGCAGGGGAGGCCTGAGTGCGGCTGGCAGGCCTGAGCTGAGAGCGTGTCAGCACTGCCCTCGGGCCTCCTCCCCCTGGCCACCTGCCTCAGCGGCCAGCCCCCCTCCCTGACTGTGCTGGGGGCTCGACCCCACGGGGCGACTGGAGCGAAGCAATTCTTCATGGGCGCATCACCAAGTTGTCGGGGCGAAGGGCCTGACTCCCCGAGTGCCGCCGGAGCACAGGGCACAGTGCCGACAGACTCGGTGGCAGCCTGTCTCTGGCAGGACGGACGCGGGCCTCCCACCGCGCAGCCCCCGCAGACTCACCACCACGTTCAGCAGCCCTCCATACGGCCCGATGTCCGGCTGCCACAGCCCCAGGATGTGTCTGTAGCGGTGCAGCACTGCAGGAGAGAGCGGCCTCAGCACAGGCGCAGCGTGGGGGGCAGGGCGGACACAGCATGGGGGGCAGGGCAGACAGCGTGGGGACAGGGCGGACACAGCGTGGGGGGCAGGGCGGGCCCAGCGTGGGGGCGGTGACGCCTGAGCAGCCATGCTGGGGGAGGCCGCCCTCCTGGCTCCTGAGGACTCCTAAGCACGGGGTGTCACGAAAAGCCGTGAAGAGACCAGGACCCTCCTGCACCTGAGGGACGTGGTCAGCTCCACGGTAGGGGCCTGCCGCCCACGTGACACCCGGGGTGAGCCTGCGGTTGGTCCGCACAGCCCAGGTGCGGCAGGCCCAACGCGCCGCGGGACCGTCCAGTAAGATCTATGCCGCCCCCCATTTCAACAGCAGCACCCCATATTCGCTTATGCGGCTGGAGAACAAGAACCCCAGAGGCCCCCGAAACGCCCTCACACACGAGGCTCCTGACACACGCCGGGAAAACGCCCTCATGTGCACCTCCTCTGCGCGCTGCTGAGCCTCAACGCCAAGCCCACAGATGGGCCAACTTCCAAGGAGGTGGGAGCGGGCCCGGCTGCAGGTGCCCGGGGAGACGGGGGCAGGCAGCGCCCAGACACTCGGTCCCACGTGGCACTGCAGCCCCAGGTTTCTGGCTGAGACGGACCCCGGACGGCGTGCTGTGTGGGGCAGGCCGCGCAACGGCCGAGGCCTGAGCAGGAGCAGGAGGCCGCCCTCGGGCCAGCAAGGAGCCTCCTCCCGCCTCGCTCTGCGGGGCTGGGACAGGCTCCTCCCTGGCTGGGTCCTGCCTGCTCAGTCTGAAATGGCACCATCGCTCCCCGGGGCCTCCGGCCACAGACTGGGGCGTGCAGCCTCCACGGTGGGGGCCGGATTCCTGGCAGCGACTTCTTTGTGTGAGGAAGCTGCCCCGCTGGTCCGGAGGGCCCGGGCAGCACAGTGGGGGCCATGGACACCTCTGAGCCCCGTGGCTGCCGAGTGCGCCAGACTGCAGGGGTGACCAGCCGGCAGGCCGAGGGGCCTGGCAGTCTCCCCTCCCAGCTCGTCGCCCGCGCCCCTGCCCCACGAGGCACACGAGGTTTGCAGGGCTCCCCGCTCAACTCGCCCGTCACTGCGTCCTCAGCCCACGGCCCGGCCGCCCGCACCGCCAGCACCCTCGGGTCGGCACCCAACACCCGAGGCCCGGAGGAGTCACTGAGTGCTTCGCAGCCTCCAGTGGGCACAGCACATCCGAGGCATCAAGGCCAGCGCCTCCCTGCCACAAGCAACTGCAGGGCGCCAGAGGCGGGACCCCCAGCAGCTTGGCCACCGGGCCGCGGAGGTCCATGTGCCGGGCGCTCGGCCCCGGGATGCCGCTGCGCTCGCTGGACAGCTCCCCGGCAGGAGCACACCGAGGACAGCAGGGACCAGGGCCAGGGCCCAGGAGTGGCGCGTGGCTGGCAGACGGGGCAGCGCCGGGTACCAGCCTCGGCCCGGCCGCCGGGCGTCCCTGGGAGGCGCGGCCCAGGTCAGAGGAGCTGGCGGGTGCAGGCCAGGCCCATCTGACTGGTCACTGCAGTTTTCTCTTCTCATGCAAGTGAGCTTTTCTCCCTGGGGTCCTGGGGGCCGTGGAGGGACAGACCCTTGCGGTCCCACCGAGGCATCCATCTGGCCACATTCACCGGTTTCCCTGTTTTTCATGTGACAGCTGTTCCAGAGCCAGGCCCGTATCTCAGCGAGACAGACGCCAGCCCCTGGCGGTTGGGCAGATGTCACAAATGTGGCCCGAGTCTGGATGCTCTGGAAGTGGCTCCAGGAAGCCCCAACCAGTCCTTGGGGAGCGCAGCACCCCTCCTGCAGGAGGCTGGACTCCACCAGTGCCCGCCGGCTGAGGTCCCAAGGAGCACAGTGGCCCCGACATGTCCATCCGTGTTTAAAAGCCGACCAGGTGGGTCCTCGTCTGCAGGGCCCCAGGATCCATCGAGGGTCCTTGACCCTTCCCTCTGGTCAGTGCTCGCCCTGCCCAGGAGCTGCCCCAGGGCTCACAGAGAGCACAGCACGCGGCTCTCCCCGCGGCCCCCGGCTCCCCACAGTGCTCGCCCACAGGGCCCACTGGCCCGTGCAGCGCAGAGGGGGCTGTGCTCGCGCCATGGAAGGAGACGACCCACTCAGGTGCCAGCCAGAGCCCAGCCCACAGCCCTCCACGGCCTCCCTGCGGCGTGCAGCCGGCCGCCTCCCACGTCGCCCTAGGCTGCAGACCCTGCCCAGTGACGGCGTCCGTGGGTTCCGGCTCCCGCGCCAGCCGACTCGCGGCCTCCTCAGGCATGGGGCATGCCAGGCCCTGCTGTGCTCCCGGCAGCCTCGCTGCACCTCCGTGCCAGCCCTGGCGTGCAACCCTGCTCTGCGGCCCAGCACGTGTCCAGCCACCCTCCAGCGCAATGCTGTGGCATCACCGCACGCCGGCGCCAAGTGGGCAGGTGCGTGGTGCTGGGTCCTGGGGCTGGGGCAGGCACCAGGGTGGGCTGCCGGACGAAGGGGCGTTTCCACCTCAGGGGTTTGAGGCAGGATTGGCACAGCCTCACCATGCCCGGGTGTGCGGGCTGGGGTCAGTCCACGGACAGCGCTGCCTCCCCTGCTGGCGGCTCTGCTAGGAGCAGGGAGGTGGGCAACGCGGTCCCCAGGCGGGCGGGCGGCCCGTTCTCCAGAAGCCTAGCGAGGACCCAAGCCTTCACCCCGCGACCAAAGGGCGCTCTCCCTGGCATCACCCTGACATCGTGCACGGAGCTGGTCCTCTTCAGCCTGGCACGCAGCTCGGGGCAATCTCCAGGGCGCACGGGACACCATCGACCGAGGCTTAGATCCTGAAACGCTTGAGCCTCTGCGTCCTTGGCCAGCGTGGGCTGGGGGGACGCCGCTTTCTAAATTCACATTTACCATTAAAATGTCACCGCCGGGCAAAGCCTACAGGGCTCATGCTGCCGGCGCGTCCCTCTACCTCGGTGGATGACGGGCGCTAACTCGCGCCGTCAACAGAGGCCCTGACGGAACACCCCAAGCCCCGCACCTCCGCGGAAACAGCCCGGCCGGCCGCCGGCCCCAGGCAAGCCGCCCTGGCCAGACACAGCCCAGGGCCAGAGGGCAACGGGGCGGGGCAGCAGGCCGGGCGCCGCAGGGCGCTGGGGCCTCTCCATGCAGCCCGGCGTACGCCAAGCCCCGCCCGCAGAGGTGCGGACGGCAGGTGTAAACGTCTGTACTCCATGTGCTCGTGATCGGGGAGGATTTTCATGACATGTCCCGACTTCACGCGCGGGTTTACACCTGAACAGACACAGCGGGGGGAGGACTGGAGGGGCTCCCGCAGCCGCCCGCGCCCGGGCCGGCCCTCCAAGGGGAAGGGACTTGTTTCCTTCTGGCCACACAGGACACCGGAAAGCCGAGGGCAGGCACCCCTCCTCCCTCGACTGGCGCCCTCGGGGCGAGACCCCGGCCGGGCAACGCCCACTCTTCCTCCGCCTCGGCTCTGAGTCGCTCTGAGTCTTTCGTTATATCCGTTGCCTCCGAACGCAGACCTGCCCGCGCCCAGGCTGCTGGACCTGGCCCCAGGGCCGAGGCCGATGGCGCCCCACCCACTCCAGAAGCAAGCGCGTCTGTCTCCTGGGTGGGAGTCCGCGCAGAGTCCCGGGGTCCTGAGCGGAACGAGGCAGGCGCTCCCGTTGTGCTGGGGCAGAGCAACAGGCAGCAGCGTCCTCCGGATTCTGCCGTCACTTCCCGGGGCCAGGACCCAGTCCGTCTCCACGCATCCTCCTGGGCCAGTGCTGGCTCCGGTGGGTGCTGAGTCCACCCGGCCTGGCCCCACAGCCCGCCTCCCCCGGTCCCACAGGACAGCGGGGCCGGGCCCAGGCAAGCCTGCACCCCAGCTGAGCCGCGCTCGGGGGCCTGTTCCCACAAGTGAACCTTGGGGCGCTGGGCCGGCGCAGCACCTGCAGCGGGAGCAGCTGCCTCTCTTCTGAGCAGTCACGACTCCGAGAAGCCATCGTCAGGAGGCCGACAAGCTCAAGAGGCAGCGCAAAGACAGCGCCCGGAGCAGGCGCTCCCAGGAGCCTGCAGGCATTTGCGGAGCCTGCTGAGGTCCCGACCCGAGCCCCCGCGCCACCGGCAGGCAGCTTCCCCGACTCCACACTCTCGGGGCTTAGACACCAGGGCCAGTGCTGTGGGGCTGGGCCAGGCGCCCACTGACCGGAGGGCAGACAGGACAGAGCCAGCCTCCTACCCCAGGCTCGTGGAGGCGGACATGGGAGGGCACCGCTCCGTGAGCCCCCCGTCCGGGAAGGAAGCTTCCAGCACTCGAGCTCACCCTGAGCAGGCCAACCAGGCGCTGGAGCACAGGGACTACCAGGCGAGGCGCCCACTGCTGGGTAAGGCAGGGAAGAGGGAGCACCTGACTCAGGAGTTCACTGGGAACCGGGCAGAGAGATGAAAGATGGTGAGAGGCAGGATCCGGGGGTTTTCTGAGAGGTGAGAAGGTCCACTCCAGCCAGAGAGAAATGGGCCCCTGGGCCACCCGGGCCCTGCTCCTGGCCGGCAGTGGACCGGAGCCTTTCATAGCCGCCCGCAGCCGTCGAGGCCAGGGCCAGGGGATGTTTGGGGCTGGGGACGCTGAGCCCAGGGGGACGCCGCCCTAGCCAGCCAGCGGGGGAGCAGAGGGGCTGGGGTGGCACACCCCCCGGGAAGGGGGGAGCTGGGCGGCGGGAGCCTGGCTGCTCGGGGCCACGCAGCCTCCAGGCCAGGCGGGCCAGGAAGAGGGCCCGGCGTGGAGCCCAGGGCGGAGAAAGGCAGGAGGACTCACGCTTGGCATAGACGTCTCGGCAGGACACGCCGGCGATCTCCAGCTTCCGCAGGTTCTCGCAGACACCGTACTCTGCAACGGGAAGGAGGCTGGAGGGTCGGGAGCCACAGAGAAGGGCGGGGCGGCGCGGGCAGGGGCTCCCCTTCACAGCCGGGGGTCAGGCCACGCCCAGCCCCGGTGGGGCCGTTATTCTACTCCAGAGAACGTCACTCTCAGGAAACGCTCCTCAGCACTGTTCCCGCGGAAGCGCTAGAAGCCTCAGAACACGAACCCTGAATCTGACAGCCCCTCGGGCTCACAAGGGCCCCGAGCCCCAGGGGCCGGCTGTGCTGCCGGCGCCGGCGCTTCCCGCGTGCCCTGGCCAGCACACCCCGCGAGGGCCCCAGCTGCCGTGTGGGGCCCCGGCCAGACAGCACCTGCGACAGACGCGAGGCGGCTTCCACCAGCATGGGCCACGGGCGCGGCAGCCACGGCCACACGCTGACGCCGTGCCCATGGGGCCCAGGGCCCAGGTCTTCCTTCCCCCCGGGGGGCTGGAGGTGGCACCCTCAGGCCCTGCACACTGGGATAGGCGTGCCCACGTCCACGCTCTCGCTTCCCGTGGCACCGGTTACCTGCAGCCCACCAGGGCCCCGACGTGGCCGGCAGGAAGACGCCACACAGAGCCACGGGCCACGCGGCCTTCACCACGGCGCCTGCCGTCTTCTGACGCGCATGCCAGCCCCTCCGCGGGCACAGACGCGTGCTGCAGAGAACCCGCACACTCCCAGGCCCGTGCGCACAGCGGCTCCGGGCAGCGCTGGCACCTCACAGGTGAGCTGGGACGGCCAGCCGAGCCCCCACAAAGCCCCATTAACAGGGAGATCTCGGCGGCGAGGGGGGCCCGCGCCCGCAGGCCGTAATAAACACCAAAGCGGAACAACGAACGTCGCGCTGAGCCGGCCGTTCCCGCGCGAAAGGCTTGGCGTTTTCCACACGATGGACAATCCTTGTCCTAAATAGCGGCTGAGAGCAATCCCACTTCCTCTTACTGCCCTAAACCTTCCAGAAGTCATCAAAGGGCAACTGCCCTTAAAATAGCCCGAAGGCTGAGCGCTTGCCAGCACCCAGCTCCGTCCCTCCAGGGGGAACAAGCCAGCCCCGGCTGCACCGGCCCCGCGCCTCCCAGGTCCCGGCCTGGCTGCGGGCCCGCTCGGGGGCTCCTTGCTGAGGCGGGCACGCGAGGAAGCTGGCGGAATTCTTCTTCCAGAGCGTCTACCCCAAAGATGGCAACGGGCAAAAGGGAAAGCGGGGGAGGGGACAGGCGAGCTGGACTTGAGAAAATGCGTAAAAGTAAACAGTCGTGCTGTGGGGAGCACGGTGGCTCCTCAAAAACCCTAAGCGGGGGGCGACACCACATTGCTGGGAGCAGGGACGGGCCAGGCCCGGGGGAGGCGGGGCTGCCTCGTGTCCGCAGTGCGGCTGCTCAGCTTTCAAAAGCAAGGGGTTCCGGGGGCGCAGGCCGGCGAGAACACCGAGCCCCGCAGGCGGCCGGGCCAGACGGGCGGCCCCAAGGTGAGGGGGGCGGGGGGCAGCGAGGTTGGGGCCGCAGGAACAGTCTGTCTGGGGCGAGGGAACAGTGTAAACACGCTGCGTGCCAAAGGGCGGTGCTGGGAACTCGGCCGGGAAGGCCACTTCACGGCGCCTGCCACGCCACAAAACTCAACCTGCCCTTGGAGTCCTGCGCTCTAAACCCCCCCAGGGCCATCTTGTCGGGGACGCGGGAAACAGCCAGGAGAGTGGCCTGGTCAGGCCGGCGCAGTCGCCGCCGGGCCGCTTCCCACAAGGCCAGGCGGGGGCAGCTCGGAGCAGCCGGCAGCCCCCCCCGCCGGCGCTGGGCCTGACCACCCCCACCGCCACTCCGCCTGGGGCAGGCCCGCGCACCCCCGCTGCACAGCCTCGGGGCAGACCAAGAATGTCCAGTCTTGGGCCTCCCTGGTGGCGCAGGGCTTAAATCTCAGCACGATCAAGCTATCACCAGCCACTGTGGCCTGAGTTCGAGCCCGGCCACGGAGCCACCCACAGGGCGCAGCAGACTCTCCTGTCTCCCCGCTGCTCCCCTTAGCGGTGTGTTTCAGCACAGCTGCCTGTTCTGCTCCCCACTCTGTCTCTGGGGAGTCCTCTCAGCCCCCACACCTCTGGCCTGCACCCCAGCTCCTCTATGCATAAATAAATAAACCTTTAAAAATAAAAATAAAGAAAAGAATGTCCAGTCTTGACCCTCACGAGGCCCCGCTGGGAGCGGGGGAGGGTCTGCGGCCCCTCCTGGCCAAGGCCACCTGCAGGGGCTGTGCTCCTGGGAAGACAGAGCCAGGAGCCTGGAGCGGGCAGGGCAGGCACTGGGCACAGGCGCGGGGCAGAGGGCACCACTGAGACGGGGTAGCGGAGAGGAGGGAGGGGGAAGGGCTGGCTTCCCGTGAACTTCAACTCACAGGTGTCTTTTCTTCTTTTTAAATCTGATTTTTGGGCCTCCCCGGTGGCGCAGCGGTTGAGCGCTGGGTTGCGAAGCTGCCCGCAGCCTCCGCAGCACCGGTTCGATCCCCGGCTGCTCCCCAGCCACTGGGGGAGGGTCCCGCATGGCGCACAGACCCCTCCTGCTGCCCGCTGCTCCCCTCAGCAGTGTCCTTCGGTCCTTCTGCCTGCTCTGCTCCCCGCTCTGGCTCTGGTGGATTCTCTCACCCTCCCGCGCTTCTGACTGTGCCCAGTGCTTGTATAAATAAATAAACCTTAAAAAAAAATATATATATATATATATATACAATAAATAAATCAATCTGATTTTTAACTTTCCTGACTTCTTTCATTTTTGACGCGAGATGCTCCCAACTCATGGTTTCTAAATAAAACTCAAAGGCAACGCTGATCAGAAAGAAGGCATTTTTGTTTACACTCGATGAGGGGATAATTATAACCCTTAATACAATATGGGGAAACCTTTAACTTCCAGCTGAATGAAAGACGTTTCAGGGCATGGGGGGCTGGAGGGAGAGGGGAGGGCAGGAGGGGTGGGCGGCAGCCCCATGGCCCCCGAAGACCAGCCTGCTGATGTCAGAACCGGCGGCTGCTCTCAGCTGCCGCGGTAGCTGCACAAAACACTTGTTCTGAATCATCTGGAAAAGCCCCGTGCAGCCGGGAAGAACGTGGAGACCAAAACCTGGACACGGCCCATAGGTGTCCCCGCGAAACACCCAGAACACTCGGGGCTGAACAAGCAGTCCCTGGAGCTGGCACCGCCCACGTCGTCAGTGCGACTCGTCCCCGACAGGCCCGTCTTTCGTCTCTGCGGGGATGGAAGCTGGCCGGCCTGGTGCCAGCGGGGGCGGCGGCCCTGCCTCCAGCTGGAGGCTCCTGACCCGGCAGGCTCCCTCTGCACCCTGGCCCAGGGCCACCCCCTCCCCGAGGCACCTGGGTCAGCCCTCCCCCATCCGTCCCGGGTGCGAGAGCCCCTGTGACCCCGGGTCTGACGGGCACGCGCCCACCTGCCCCTTCCCACCCCACAGACGCTCCCCGCCGAGGACAGACTGCTGCCCCCCGAGCCCGCTCGCCACGGCGGCAGCACAGGGACGCTGCTCTGGCACGGGACGTGGGCTCGGGCACAGGCTCCCAGGCCACCTCCCGGCCGGCGCCCTTGAGTCTGCACGCCCTTGCCAGCAGGAACGACAGGCCCAGGTCCGCAAGCGCGTTGCGTCATCACTTTGGACACAGCGCGCCGGGAAAACAGCGGGGCCTGGCCCTCAAACCACCCATCGACTCTTTTTGGCCCCAGGACCTGTGCAGCTGAAGCAGCCAAGCCGGAACCTGCCCTCGGCGCGGCCCGGCTCCGGCGGCACGGGCTGGCGGGCTTTGTTAAGGCTGGAGAGCCTTGAAAACATCCCCGGAAGACGCACCGCTCCCCTCTGCGCTGTCCTTCTCCGCGCCCATCGAAGGGGCCGAGCTGGCTCCAGAAGGCAGCACAGTGGAGTCAATTTCCAAAACCAGAGACGGCTGCAGTCCCTGAGCTCGCACAGCAGCAGGGGAGAAGCCACGGCCCCTGCAGAGCCCAGGCCAGTGGGCAGGCGGGGCGCACCGGTCTCCTCCGCTGGGGCTCTCCGGTGGGCTCAGCTCAGGAGTCTCCAAATACCCTCGAGCGAGCGGCGCTTCCGACCGGCCACCTGCCTGTCTCCAGGACGCCCCTGCCCGCGCCCCCAGGCCCGCCTCTCGCGCCCCCTCGCAGGCCTGGCGCTCGGCAAGCGTGTTCTCCGCTGCAGAGACAAAACGCAGCGCTGGTGTCTAACCGCGTTTCGGTCATGAAAGTGAGACGTCACGGGAGACGGTGTTTCTAGTTCTGGCGGAACGGAAGCCCCGAGTCCCACACCTGATCAAGACGCCGCCAGCACTACGCCGCCTGTCATCAGACTCCACTGCCATCGCGGGAAGAAATGGGCAAATCACACACGAATTCTGGCCCTGACACCTGCAGCCACCAGGCTGGAGCCCAGGAGGCCTCGGATCCCGGCGCTGTGGGGTCAGCGTGGGCAGCAGAAATCCACCCGGGGCTGCTCGGCGCTCCTCCTGGAGTCACCACAGTGAGTTCACCCACAACCACGGTCTGAATTTTTAACACTCAGGAGCCTTCGGTCGCCTTCACAGAACACGGCCGAATGAACAGTGCAGGGGGACTGATGTTTCCAAATCCACCCGCCAAAAGGTGACGTGTTGACTGAGCAGAGCGTGGCGGGGTCAGAGGCAGAGGACGGCGCTGGGCGTCCACCCTCGGGCCGCAGAGTGCTGACTTATTTATAGCCCCTCGCAGGAGCCCAGGAGGCCTGGAGCCAGAGGACTCCAGCATCAAAATCGAGTTGGCCAGGAGGGCCGGGCCCCGCAGCGGGGAGGCAGGGCTGGGCGGCTTCCTGGAAGGGGGACGAGCACCGTCCGGCGTCCACCCGCACCGCCGGCCCTGAGAGCGGGCACAGACTGGCCGCCCCTCCGTGGTGGGTCGCCGCGGCTTCTCGGTGTCCTGCACATGGACACTGAGGAATCCTTTTCATCCCGCAGCCACGCGGCGCTGCAAGACACCTCATTGCAAGTTTCCACACAGACCGCCCCCCCAAGCGGATCCTATCATTGGGAAGAACTCAAAACACACGCGTGTTCCCACCTGCACGTCAGCCACGCCCCGATTCTTTAAAACAGTCGGACAAAGGGGTGAGGGGCCCTCATCCCAATCCCACTTTTGTCACTGCTTTCTGTGCCGGGGAGTCTGGGCCCCGGCAGCAGGTAAGCGTGCAAATGCCGAGTGACCAAAGAGGCCACCCGGAGCCCAGCGGGCCACGTCCCCAGCACCTCGGGGTGACAGACCATTTCTTAGGCCCAAACCTCAAGACTCACAGCAGATCAGCACGGCGACTTCGCGTGCTATAATGAAGCAAAAGAGCAAATAACTGTAGACGACGAGAAATGTTTTGCATTCTCAGAAATCTCCCGGATTAAATAACTCAAACCCGCCAAAGAAGAGAGGGAAAGAAATAGAGAGTAAGAAAGACCCAAACCACCAATAGCTGTTACATGTTCATCCCCACTGGCTCCAAGCACCTAGAAACGTAAATGAGGTTGTTTCTCACCCCGATTGGCACAGACTGTGAAAGCTGGAGTGCTGAAGTCAGAATTCAGAGGCTAGGGGCCTCCCTGGTGGCGCAGGGGGTAAGTCTCAGCTCGATCAAGCTATCGCCAGCCACTGCCGCAGGAGTTCGATCCCCAGCCGGCCAGGGAGCTGACCCACAAGGTGCAGCAGACCTCACCTGCCTCGCCTGCTGCTCCCCTCAGCAGTGGATTTAGTAGATCTGCCTGTTCTGCTCCCCACTCTGTCTCTGGGGAACCCTCTCACCCTCCCACACCTCTGGTCTACACCCCAGTTCTTGTGTGCATAAATAAATAAAATAAATCTTACAAATAAATAATTCAGCAGCTACTGGGTTCGATGAGGCCTGAAGCTGCGGAGCAGGGCAGCAGGGGCTGTGGACATGGCCCGTTCCCGCCGCAGTCAACAGGGCAGGCCACAGGCCGCTGGGCAGCACTGACTGCAGGCGGCACACCCCGCAGCCCCCGTGGGCTGGAGACACCCCCTAAACTCCAAACACAGCGGCAGGCCCAAGGAAACACGGATGAGGCTCTCACCGCCCCCCCAGGCAGGATGAGAAACTGACGCGTGACAGGACGAGGCTGGCCCCTCTCGTGCAGAGCCCCTACCCAGCGCCCACGTGGGCTGGCAAGGACAGAGCCCGAGACAGACCGCACAGAAAAGTGCTCGGTGTCCCCGGAGCTGTACCCCCACATGGGAAACCTTCCTTCAGGCTCACAGTATCTGTTCTTGTAAATGACCTCTGGGGGCGCTTGGGGGGTGCAGGGGGAGCCGAGATATCTTCTTTTAAATTTTTTTTTTTTTGAACTGGAGAATGCACCCTTTTGTTTTATTTTATTTATTTATTTTTATAGAGGCATGTTCATTTATTTATTTGTTTGTTTATACAAGCACTGGGAACAGTCAGAAGCGCGGGAGGGTGAGAGAATTCACCAGAGCCAGAGCAGGGAGCAGAGCAGGCAGAAGGACCGAAGGACACTGCTGAGGGGAGCAGCGGGCGGCAGGAGAGGTCTGCGCGCCATGTGGGACCCTCCTCCGGTGGCCAGGAGCAGCCGGGGATCGAACCGGCGCCGCAGAGGCCGCGGGCAGCTTCGCAACCCAGCGCTCAACCACTGCGCCACGGGGGAGGCCGAGATATCTTCTTTTAAAAAAGGAAAAAAAGGAGAGAGGCGCCCAGCAGGCATGAGAAAAGGCTAGCAGGTCCTTGTCGGGGTGACCGGAGCTCTGTCTGCTACTCACTTGCACCTCCCAGGTCTTTAATTCACAGAAGGAAAACTGCAGGTCAGGGGGCCTTGGCGCAGGCCCAGGGCCTCCTGTGGGGCCGCTGCTGTCCCAGGCCACCGCCGGGCACACACCTCCCCGAGCGCCCAACCTCTCCCCACACCTGCGTCAGCACTTTTTATAGGCAACTCTGGCCTTCGCCGCATCAGGACTCCGTGCCTCTCCCTCTGCGCCGTGTCTGAGAGCCTTTCACCGACACAGTGGAGCCCCGCCAGCCTCTGCTACACACCCTCCAGCTCCCCAAAGACAGGCCCCGGGGGGCTGGGCTGAGACGCCTCGGGCACTGTGGCACTGTGGCGGCCTGTGCCGGGCGGGGCCTCACAGGCAAACAAAACGCAAAGTCCAGGAAAAGGCGCAGATCACAGAGGAGGAGGAACAGCTTTTCTGCCTCCCTTCAAGATGTGGAAAGAAATGCACCTGCCACGCTAAGGCCCTGATGCTCAGAGGTCGCACACGACTGCCAGGCGGACTCCGGAGGAAAGAGACGCTCGGTTCTCCACAGGAGCTGAAAGGAAAGTGGCCGAGCAGCCTCACAACCCAGCGCCCGCCCGGCGGGTGGGGAGAAGCCTCTGCTCGGCCATCTCCCACCTCGTCGGCCTCAGCGCTTCCGGGAACACCTGGCGGCCAAGGCCCAGCCTCTCCCAGCAGATAAACAGGCCTGGGCCTGCTGACCGCAAATGCAGAGTCTTGACCCCTGGGCTCTAAGAAAGGGAATGACCGCACCCCGCTCCCCGCCAGAGGATTTGGGGATCAAGCCCATCTCACGCGGCCTTCCAGGGCGTGCAAACCCCAGCAGCCGGGAGGGTAGCTGCTGTGTCCCCAAAGCACCACCAGCCCGCTTCGGGAAGCAGACCCTAGGAACGTAGCCCCAGCTGCCCTCAAAGGCCCGCGAGCTCGGGAAGGCCCCCAGGGCGGCGGGCCGAGGTCCCCCCATGCGGACAAGGAACCGGCGCGGCCGCGGGGTGCCTGTGGCCCTGCAGCCGTGGGCCGCCTCCGCGCCTCGCAGAGCAGCCGCCCCGGGTCCAGACGCGGCGCGACCCGGCCCGGCCCGGCCGCCCCGCTGTCCCGGGGGCTGCGGCGAGACGCCCCTGGTTCTCGCCGGCTGCCTGGGGTCCCCCCTGCTCCCCAGTACACAGCGACGGACACCGGGGAGCCGCCCGCCTCGGCAGAGCCCGGAGCGCCAGGCCGGGCACAGCTTCCCGGGGCTGGTCTGGGAACCGCTCTCCGGGGGACCCCGCGCCGCCCGGGGCTCTGCGCCCCCCGCCTCCCCGGGGGGCCCCGCCCGCGCCGGGGCTCCCCGCGCCCCCCGCCGCTCGCTCGGGCGCCCCTCGGCGGCCCCGCCCGCGCCCGCCCGCGCCCACGCCCCGCGCCTCCCGGCCCCGCGCCCCGCCCGGCCCCCGCCGGCCCCCGCCCGGCCTCACCCTCGCGGCAGCGCCGCCGCCAGATGGTGTCGGTGTGCAGGATGCGGCGGAAGCGCGAGCACACGCGCGCCAGGCTGGGCAGGTCGGTGCCGGGCAGCGCCGCGAAGATCTCCACGAGCAGCTCGGGCGGCAGCTCCAGCAGCGAGCGGCGCGGGGGCGGCGCGGGGCCCGCGGCCGCCCCGGCCCCCGCGCCGGCCCCCGCGCGCGCCGCCTCGATGCGCTCCTCCTCGGGGTCGGTGTCCGCCCCGCTGTCGGCCGCCGCCGCCTCGGCCGGGTCCCCGCGCTGCTGGCGCCGCCGGCACCCCCGCGCCGGGCCCACGCCGCAGAGCCGCGCGCACACCGCCATGCCGCCGCCGCCGGCCGCGCACGCGCACGCCGCCCCGAAGCAGGCCCCGCCCCGCCGCGGGCCCCGCCCCGCCGCGGGCCCCGCCCCGCCGCGGGCCCCGCCCCGCCAGGGCGGAGTCCCGAGGCCCCGCCCCGACGCAGGCACCGCCCCGACGCAGGCACCGCCCTCCAGGGCGGAGTCCCGAGGCCCCGCCCCGCCGGGGCGGAGTCGTGGACCTGGCCCCGCCCCTGGGCGGAGTCCCGCCCGGCCCCGCCCCGCCCCGGCCTGGGGTCCCGCGGAGCCGGCGAGACCCACGCGGTGCCCGGGCCTCCACCCCGCAGACGTGCGCGTGGCAGCCTGGGCGCGCCGCCCCGGGCGAGGGCCGGACCCACCGCCGCCAGAGGAGGGGCCCCGCCGCTTCCCAGAGCCCAGGACCTCCGCAGCCCCCCAGGACCCCACACGCCCCTCGGGGTGGCCCCCGGGGCCCCTCACCACCCATAGGAGGACTCCAAGGACCCTTCCACCCCACCCGCTGGTCCCCTCCCCAGTGCCCGAGGGCGGCCCGGAGACCCCCGGCCGGACCCGCCAAGGCCACTTCGCCGCGGGGCAGGCTCCGGTGGGCGAAGCCGGTGGTCAGGGCCTCGCGCCCGGGAGCCCGGCCCCTCCTGCCGCCCTGGAGCCGGACCGCGGGCCGGGCCTCCGCGGGCGGGAGCTGTTGACCGCCGGGCGGGACGCAGCTGCGGAGGGTGCTGGGCGCTGTGCCAGCCGACGCCCGGAATAGCTCATGGAGCCGTGGCTCCCGGCTCGGGGCGACCGAGGGAGCAGGGGCCTCGCCGCACCTGCCCTGACGCCGGCCCAGGACCACCTGCTGGAAGACTGGTCCCGGCCCGCGGCGAGCACACAGCCCTGGCCGCGCACCCAGCGACAGGGACGGCATCTCCTGGCAAGAACAGCCACACCTCACACCTTAGCTCGCCCGGCCACCTCCCCGCCCGCGCGGTGACTGACGACCAAGCCCTGAGCGCCCGCCCTGCACCTGGACTCTGTCGCTCCACGCTGCGAGCCCAAGCCCCTGCCTTGAGGGGGGCGCTCTGCGTCCCTCACCTGTTTCAGGGCAGCTGACGGCCCCACGGGCTCCTGTCGGGCCAGTGCCTGGCGCCGTGGCCCCGGCCCACGGCCTTCACCCGTCTGATGCCTCAGCCGGTCACTGGCCATGCTTGTGCCTCTGCCCAAGCTGCCCCCCAGGACGGCCGCCCAGGCTGTGCTGTGCCCAGCGGGGTGGGGACGGGGCCTTCGGGGCGGCATGGCCCCAGAGTCGGTGCCCGCATCCACCACCCCTTCCTTCTGGCCCCGAAGAGAGCCCCTTCCGGGAAGGAGGTCCCTTGTCACCGCACTGTCTCCGGGCAAACACTCCCGGTGCCGGCCCCAGCACACCCGCAGCGCACCCCCAGCACACCTCCCCACCGGCGCCTGTGCACGGCGACTGCTTGCGGATCCGCCGCGGCGCCCGAGAAACAAGGGACAGATACACGCGCTCAGAGGCGGGGAGCACCGACCCAGCGGGCCCCAGCGGACGTGCAAGCACAGAAGCCCGGAGGGTCCCCGGCCCTGGGGCCAGGGTGGGACGCGGCCCCAAAAGCAGAGCCCCCAGCGCTGGCAGGACGCCTGGGCGGCCCTAGCGCCGTGGGCCGGCACCGGGACGACGACCCGCCGCCGGCCTGTGTGCGCGGGGCCCTCGCCCTGCCAGGCGCCTACTCGGGTCTGGGCGCGGAAGTGCTGGTGGAACACGGCTTTCCTCGGGGAACGGAGCTGACCGCCACGCGCACAGTCCGGCGGGGCTTCCGTCGCCCGGGAGGCCGGAGCTGCCTGTGCACGGGGCCGCGGGCCGCGGGGCTGGAGTCCAGCGAGTGGCGTGGGCCAGCGGCACAAGCGGCGAAGGGCCGGCGGGAGGCTTGGGCGCCGCGGCCCGCGGGTGGGGTGGGCGCAGCGGAGGCACAGGCTCGGTTGGGGGCCTTCCCTCCCGCGGAGCGGGAGGCAGGCCGAGTCCTCACCGCCCGGGAGAGCTCGGCAGCGCTGAGAGCAGCAGGGAAATGGGGGGAAGACGGGCGTGTGTTCAGTGGGTCGCCCCGAGTCCCGCAAGGCCCACTTCTCCGACCCGAGGAGGCCGGGCGACGCCCGTGGAGCGCTGCGAGGAGCCCGGCGTGAAGAGCGGCTCCCGGCCCCGCCCAGGACAGTCGCGGGTGGGGACGCCGGGAGGACGCCCCAAGGTGGAAGCAAAGGCGCACGGTTTAAGGCACAAAGGAGGCCCCCGGCGCCTCAGCCCCCCAGCCCCGGCCGGCCGTGGGCCGCGCTGGAAACGCGCCTCCGAGTCTGTTTCCATTGAGCGGGCGCCGAGCCAGCGCCGGGGCGGGCCGCCTGCCGGGCTCGGGCTCCCGGGAGACCCGCCTCAGGCCTGGGGGGCGCCGGTGCGCCCCCCGCCGGTCTCCGAGCCAGCTCCCCGCTCCCGCCGCGCCTCCGGTTCCGGGAAGACCGTCCCAAACCCTGGAGCCCCCCCCGCAGGCCTCCCGGCTCCCCGCGCCCTGCCCCGCCCCGCTCCGGAGCGACACGTGTTTGTTTACAGGCTCCGCGAGCAGCGAGGACGCGGCGCCGGGCGGCCCGCAGGCGCCCACGACGGGCGGGCGGAGCGGCTCCTCCAATCGAAGGGGCGGAGGTGGGGCAGCGCCGGCGGCTGGGGCGCTCGCGGCCCGGGCTCCCTCCAAGCGGAGTGTGCCCCCCCCCCAGCTCCGGCCCGGACAGCCTCCCCAGAGCGGCGGCAGCGCGGGCTCGCCGAGTGCGCCCCGAGCAGCTCGAGGGCGGCAGCGCCCTCCCGCCTCCCGCCTTCACGCCGCGAGCAAGGGAGCAGGAAGGGAGTAGCGGGAAGGGGGTACCGCTGACCTTTCTAGAAAGATCCTCGGCAGCTTAAAACCACCCTGAGGTTTCCGGAGAGCACGGGGTACACCGCAGGGAAAGGGGGAGTCCTGTGCCTCCCAACGGCGGGGCGGGCTCGAGGGCAGGCCCTGCCTCCAAGACCCGCCGCTCGCGACGCCAGCTCGCTGGGGCAGCCCTCGGGTTGCAGGGGGGTAACACTTTCCGCACATTAAACAGGGAGAGAACTTTAATCTGGGGTGCAGGAGCACCCCCCGCGCGCAGGCTCACGCGGCCCTGCTCCCTGCGTGTGCCGGAGGGCAGGTAACAACTCGCGGCTCCGTGGCCACCCACCCTCACCTGGAGGTCGGCTCCGGAGAAGGCTGCGCGCCACGTCTTGGGGTGATCTCCTGAGGAACCTCGGGGCTCTGGGCCCCAGCGGGCCCTCCCGGAGGGGCAGGAGGCCCGCAAAGGCCGGCCTCAGGCGGGCGTCACCAAGCGGGGCGCCAGCGCGGTCCGGCAGGCCCCGCGGGCCGGGCGGAGTGGGGGCCCCGCGGGTGCCCGGGGAGGGGACCTGGCTCTCCTCTCCGCCGCACCCCCAGGGGCAGAGTGGCCGCGGCAGGGCCGTCCCTCGCAGGGCCGCGTGGCGCCGCCAGCCCGGGCGCCCAACCCGGGGCGGGCTCCCCGGACGGCACTGTGGGCGGGAGGCGCGGCCGGGCGCGTCCAGGACCTGCCGTCCCGTCTCCACCCGGAGGCCTCCGGCGCCGGCCGGTGCTCCCCGCACACGCCTGCTGTCGCCGCGGGCTGGGGCTGGGGCTGGTGCCGCACGGGCTCCCCAGGGCGCCGGGCCGGGTGCAGGCGCCCGCGGGCTCGATACTGAGGAGCACAGGCGGCGGGGGGCGGGGGGCGCCGGGGCTGGAGGGGGGTCCCCGCGGCAGGGCTCGGGCGGGCCTCGGCCCCGGCTGCCCCGCTCACCGGTGGCGGCTCCGTCCCGGACCGGACCAGCCGACCAGGACCGGCCGACCAGGACGGGCCGACCAGCGCGGGCGCGTTTCCGGGAAAGCCGCGGGGCCGCTGCGCAAACACGGCGGGGCGCTGAGGGGTGGCCGGGCGCTGAGGGGCGCTGAGAGGCGCTGAGGGGCGGCGGGGCGCTGAGGGGCGCTGAGAGGCGCTGAGGGGCGCTGAGGGGCGCTGAGAGGCGCTGAGGGGCGCTGAGGGGCGCTGAGAGGCGCTGAGGGGCGCTGAGGGGCGTCGGGGCGCTGAGGGGCGCTGAGGGGCGGCGGGGCGCTGAGGGGCGCTGAGGGGCGGCGGGGTGCTGAGGGGCGCTGAGAGGCGCTGAGGGGCGCTGAGGGGCGCTGAGAGGCGCTGAGGGGCGCTGAGAGGCGCTGAGGGGCGGCGGGGCGCTGAGGGGCGCTGAGAGGCGCTGAGGGCGCTGAGGGGAGTCGGGGCGCTGAGGGGCGTCGGGGCGCTGAGGGGCGTCGGGGCGCTGAGGGGCGTCGGGGCGCTGAGGGGCGCTGAGGGGCGTCGGGGCGCTGAGGGGCGCTGAGGGGCGGCGGGGCGCTGAGGGGCGCTGAGGGGCGCTGAGGGGCGGCGGGTGCTGAGGGGCGCTGAGAGGCGCTGAGGGGCGCTGAGGGGCGGCGGGGCGCTGAGGGGCGCTGAGGGGCGCTGAGAGGCGCTGAGGGGCGCTGAGGGGCGCTGAGGGGCGGCCGTGCGCTGAGGGGCGCTGAGAGGCGCTGAGGGGCGGCCGGGCGCTGAGGGGCGCTGAGGGGCGGCCGGGCGCTGAGGGGCGCTGAGAGGCGCTGAGGGGCGCTGAGGGGCGGCCGTGCGCTGAGGGGCGCTGAGAGGAGCTGAGGGGCGCTGAGAGGCGCTGAGGGGCGCTGAGGGGCGCGGCGCGGCGCTGAGGGGCGGGGCCCCGGGGCAGGGGCCGCCTGGTGCGCAGGCCCCGCCCCGCCCGCCGCCGAGTGCGCACGCGCCCCGGCCCTCAGGCCCCGCCCCCGGCGCTGCGTGCGGCCCGGCTTCCGCCACGCCCGCCATGGCGGCGGCCGCGGCCGGGCTGGCCCCGCCCCCGGCATGACGCGCGCGGGTCACCTGACCAGGCTGCGGGCCGAGGAGACACAAGGGAAGACGCCGTCGCCGCGGTCGGACCTCGCCTTCGCCGCCGGAGCCGCGGACCCCGCCCGCCGCCGCCGCCGCCCGCCCGCCCGCCCGCCATGCCGTCGGAGAAGACCTTCAAGCAGCGCCGCTCCTTCGGTGGGGGCCGCGGGCGGGCGGGCGGGCCGGGTGCCGTGGGGGTCGCCCAGCCGCGAGGCGGGCGGGACGGAGGCGCCGCGGGGCGCTCTGGGCGGGAGGGGGCGCCGCGGTGGGCGGCCGCGCCCCAGGACCCCCGCCCGGCGGCGCCCCGCGCCCCCGCCGCCCGCGGTCGGTTCTCCCCGCTGGCCGCGAGCCGGTTGGGGTGCGGGGCCGGCATCCGCGGGGCCCGGGAGCGCGGCCCGAGTCCGGCGCAGGCCCCGGCGCCCGGCGTCCCCGGCGTCCAGTTTCCTGCGCCCGGGAGCCCCGCGTCCGCCCGGCCGCGCTCGCCCCGCAGGCGCCGTGGGGGTCCCGGCCCCCGCTGCCCTAGGGGCGCCCCGGGGCCGCGCGGGTTCGCGCCGACGGCCTGCGGGGCCCGTGACCTTGGCCGGCCCCCGGGGCTGCGCTCGGGGCCGCGCTCGGGGCGCCCGCGTCCGGTGTCTCCTCGGGCCTGGCCCTGACAGCTGCGGGGACCTCTGTGCGGCGATGCCCGTGTCCCGTGCCGGAGGCCGTCCTTGCCTGCCTTTTGCTTATTTTTAGGTTATTCTGGAAGAATCGGGAGAGAGTAGGTGGAGACAGTAGGAAAGTGAGCCCGGGTGCTCAGAGGAGCAGCAGGACCTCAGGTCCCTGGAGGTGGGCCCGGGTGCGACCAGCCCTCCTGCCCCCCGCTGCCTTTGGATAAACCCTGGTAGTAACTTTGCAGAAGAGCATCGGCTCGGGGGCCACGCTGACATCAGAGGCTTCAGGCCGGGAGCGCAGGAGAGGGGCCCCGCTCTGTGGAAAGAGCCTCTGTGTAGAGCGTGTCTGATCCAGCGTGAGCAGTTGGGCTCCCTCACCCTTGACCGTGGCTCTGCCGCCGTCTTCTCCCGGCCGGAGAGGGTGGGAACGGACCTTGGGGCTCACCCCAAACCACCCCTTCCCGTTGCAGCTGAGGAGACTGGGTGGGGTGCAAGAGGTGAAGACTGGTCCACCTAGTTGCGATGCCTGGGCCGGAGCACTGGCCGCGCCAGCCGCCCGGGAGCCTCTGCCCTCACTGGAAGTCCAGAGGCTCGGGTCCCCTGCAGACATTTGGGAACCTTGCGAAGCTCAGGACTGAGCTTGAGCGCATCGCCTCCTCTGTGTTCCTGGGGCTCCCCAGGCTAGTCCCTGAGCTGTCTCCTCCGGGCACTGGTCTGCTCAGTGGAGGAGGGTGTGGGCTCGGCCTGGCCTCACCTGGCCATGGCTCGGAGGACACTTGGTGGACCAGAGAGTTTGGGGCAGACGGGTGGCTGCAGACCTGCGCCGTCCCTGCCAAGGTGTGCTGTCGAGCGCTTGGAGGCAGGTTACGGGAATGTTTAGCAAGCTGGAGTTTCACGCTGAGCCAAATGCCGGAGAATGTAGGTGAAGTTTTCCTGTAAATGCCGGGGGGGAGTCTCTTAGCAACTTTGCAAGTGGTGGCAAAAAAAAAAAAAAACATCTGATGCTTCAACTACATCTTCTGTGTTTGTCCACAAAGCTTTACGGATAGTGGAGAGGAGGGAGCGGGTGTGTCCCCACCGCAGCTCTCCTTCATCGGGGCCCTCGGCGTGGGGCCTACGTGGGGGTGGAGGGATGGGGGACCGTGACCGAGCCCGGCTGGGAGGACAGCCCAGCGCAGCTGTACCGAGCGGGCCAAGTAAGGGAACTGGTCTGCACCCCCGGGGACCATTTGGGTGAGCGTGGGGAGCATGCCAGGCCCCGCTGCCATCCTCGGGTTTCCACGCAAGTGGGCCGCCCAGTCCAGGCGCCCTGTCAAGACATGCAGGGAGCCGGGCCTCGCCTCCCCACAGCAAGCATCTGCCTTCAGAGCTGTGTTTTGGGGCGAAAACACGAGGAGGAAGCCTTTCGCGCTGGCTTCTGATGGAAGCCTCAGGCGGGCCCGTCGAAGTCAGTCTGTTTATGTGCATAAACCCTCGCCCCCTCTTGCCTGCACCTTTCCACGGACGCCTCCTGGGTTTACTGGGACAAGCTTTGGAACGTGAAACGGACTCCGGGCAGCGCTGAGGAGCACGTGTCATTCATCTGCTAGCGGGGCGCATGCGTGCCCCGGGCTCTGAGTACTGGGGGGCTCTGTGGAGAGGCCTGGTGGGGAGACAGGCGCGGCCGGGTCTTTATGCTGAGGAAGGACCTGGTCTCAGCAGCAGAAGGTTCCATGCCCCTCTCCGTGTCTCCTCTGCCGCTGACGTCAGACTGGGCGGCCAGCTTCACTCAGTTCTGTCACTGGCCTCCCGGGGGCACCCCCTGGCCCCTAGCGCTGCTCCCTCCGCACACACACGCAGTTGAAACCTGATTTGAAACTGACAGCCAGGACACGGGGGTCCGGGCCCCCGGGCTTGACTGGGTCACGGCAGTGCTGCACAGAGCCCTTGCCTGCGGTGCTCTGCTCACGGCGGGGGGCCCTGAGGTCAGTGCTGTGAGCACCGGAGCGCGCGTCCACGTGCAGGCAGCTGTGCGCTGCCCTCCAGCACCTGACCGTCTCGGGACCCATCCTGCTGGGTGTTTCCAGAACCCCCGACCCAACAGCCTAAACCGACCGATCACTGGAACTGCTGTCTCCAGCCTTGACCACGGTGGGTCCCCGCTGGCGAGGCCTCTCCTGGCCTCCGGGGGTGGGAGGGCTGCAAACAGCAAAGGCATCTGCTCCCTGGAAACTCCTGGGCGGGCTCCGCCAGGGCCACACGTGCACCTGCTGCGGGTCTCCGCCTCGCTCGAGCGCTGGACCTGGCTGCCCTCGCACCCCTGTGCGTCTCTCCCGCGCCTTGCTGGTGTCCGCGCTGGGAGTGGCCGGGACCTCGGCCTCCTGGCGGGGCACCTGTGCTGTGGAAGCTGGTGTGGAGGTGCCGGGCGGGAAGACATCACGCCGCCTCTGTCCCGTGTGATCGCGGGGCTGGGTACTGGCAGCGTTTTCCGAAGAACGTTACCGAAACATTTGCTCAAAATAAAGCTGGCAGCTCTTCGCTCTTGTGAGGCGCTGTCCTAACCTGTCTGGCCGCGGCTCCGGCGCCTTCTCGGGGAGCCGACGACATGGCTAGGCATTCTGGGAGCGCGCGGGGGTGGCTGGAGGGAGTGGAGGGCCCCGGCCGTGGTGGGGGGTTGAGGCCATCTTGGCGGGGTTCACACCCCTCCTCTGACGGGCTCTGCGCCTCAGCCTGGCGGGGCTCCACGCCTGTGCGCCCCAGGTCGGCCTCAGGTCTGGCACGGCTGTTGGAGACGTGAATGAGAGAACACACGGGAAGGGACCCCAGCAGGCTGGGCCTCCCGCCGCCTCTGTGGGCGCGGAGCAGACCAGTGCCGGCCCGAGCAGGACCCGCTCGTTTCTCTCGGGCGGCTGCTTTCAGGCTGGAGGTAGCCAGGGGACAGCGCGCGGACGAGCCTGCGGCCAGCTGCGGGTTTCTGTACCGACGTCGACGGGGAGACTCGCGAAGACCGACGGGCGGGGGGAGACGTGCGGGGCGCCCGATGTCTCGGAGCCCTGGGTCCTGTGCTGGCCCCGCCGGGTCGGCCCTTCCTGCCCGCGACCGTGACGGCGAGGCCTCCGTGCTTGGTCTCCGGGTTCTGGGCGGGGTGGGGCCCCGCTGCGTCCCCCAGGCGGTGCGTCCGGACACGCAGTCACGGTACGAGCAGAGGACGCGCCGTCTCCCTAGTCACGCCCTGTCTCCCTTTCGTTGCAGAACAGAGAGTGGAAGACGTGCGACTCATCCGGGAGCAGCATCCTACCAAGATCCCGGTGGGTGGCCTCAGACGCGCGTCTCCGCGGCACACGTGCCCGGCCCGCACAGCCTCGGGAGCCGCCCGCCCCTGGCAGCTTCCCGCGGGGCACTGCCGGCAACAGCTGTTGCCGCCGTCTTGCTCCCAGGCTGAGCCTGCAGTCTTGACGTTTGCGCGTCCCAGACCCGAAGTGTTTATATTGGGCGAGGGGCGGGGGCTGAGCTAGGTGCTTTATTCCCAGAAGGAATAGCGGGCGCCCCTTGGGGGGGCCACCGGGCGGGGGAAGACACTGCCCCTCCCTGTTGGGTGAGGCGCAGGGTCTACAGAGACACCAGGAGGACTTCTGGGTCAGGCCGAGTTCAGGCCAGCGGTCCTGAGTCGCCGGCAATCCCGAGCCCCTTACTCGGACCCGCAGGGAGCTGCGTCCTGTGCGCTGGGGTGGGTGGGAAGGCGGCACGGTCCTAGGCGCATGGTTGGCAGAGTCCGCGAGCTCCACAGCCCGCTTCAGCGGCAGCTGACTCCAGGAGGAGCAGACGTGCGCCAGGTGGGGCTGGCGTCGTGCAGCAGGTCACAGCTTCGTGGGGCTGCGGGGAGGTTCCCATCTGTCCAGGTGTGACAGGCGGGACCCTGGCGGACCTCCTGGAGGTGTCCTCTCCTGCGGCTGCTCTCCACCTTGACGCCCCGGGCGCCTCTCTGTGAGCCGGCGCTGCCCGCAGAGGCCAGGGGCAGGCCCACAGCCGCCAAGGTGTCCTCGCGTGACTTTCTGCTGGCAGTGCCAGGTGGCCTTGTTCTACCTGGAGTCTTAGGGAGAGGCACACTTTTTTAAAAAAGATTTATTTATACAAGAACCCGGGTGCAGGCCAGATGCGCGGGAGGGTGAGAGGATTCACCAGAGACAGAGCTGGGAGCAGAACAGGCAGACCGACGAAGTCCACTGCTGAGGGGAGCAGCGGGGAGACAGGAGAGGTCTGCCGCGCCATGTGGGATTCTCGCCGGCTGGGATTAAACCCTCACGGCAGGGGCTGTGGACAACCCTGCGCGGCGCTCAACCGCTTGTGCCACCAGGGAGGCCCGGAAGTCACACTTTTACACGTGTTTGTGACACCTGAGCCCTTGGGGTCGGGCTCTTACTTGCTGAGAGCAGATGGACAGACGGACGGTGCAGGAGGCACGCGGGCTGCCAGGCTTGTGCCTAGGCCGCTTTCCCCTCTGCTCCTGTGCCAGCCCCGCCTCCCGAGAGAGTGGTTCGGGAAGGCACTCTGCGGGCGCTCTCTGCTCTCACCCTAAGACCGCCTCTCCTCACCCAGGCGCGAGGTGGCTCTCCAAGTTGCCGTCCCAGTGCCTCCGGCTGCTGTGGCCGCCGGCCATCCTCTGCAGCCGCACCTGGGGGGCGTGGTAGGGGAATGGCAGTCCTCAGCCTCTGCTCAGTCAGGGCGCAGAGCAGGGTATGCCCGCGTCCTCCCCCGCCCACCCAGTGCCACAGGCATGTGACCACCACTCCCCGGACGGTGGTGGGAGACAGTACGCGCTCTGTTCACCCCGTGTGGGTGGCCGTGGCCCAGGTGCCGCAGCAACCCGGGATGCTGCTGCTGCGTTGTCCGCGCCTGCTTTTCAACCCCTTCCCGGCCCTCTCCTAGGTGATAATAGAAAGGTACAAGGGCGAGAAGCAGCTCCCCGTCCTGGACAAGACCAAGTTCCTCGTGCCCGACCATGTCAACATGAGCGAGCTCATCAAGATCATCAGGTACCCGTGGCCCTGCCCTGATGTCCAGCTTGGCCATGCCCTTAGTTTGCTCAAATTCTGTGCAGATTAACTTGGACGTGTCATGGCAAAGTCTTTAAATCCCATGTTTCACTGACCTCGCGTCACGTCTGAGTCTGTTGCTATGACGTCACGGTGGTGTCCCTTCATCAGAGCAGTGGCCGGGTTTGCACAGCAAACTGGCAACACTCACAAGGGAAGGTGCATGCTTTGCTCGGCTTCCCCACCGAGGCTGGGTGGCGGCGCCAGGCCGCGGGCGTGTGAGAGGCCTGGGAGCGAGAGGGTCTGCGAGGGCTTGGACGCTGCAGCTGGGGCAGCGTCCGGCCCGCCTGCCCCGTCAAGGGAGGCTGTCGGTGGCCCCGCGTGCTGACCACCAGCACGTGTCCTGTCCTCTCCGCAGACGACGCCTGCAGCTCAACGCCAACCAGGCCTTCTTCCTGCTGGTGAACGGACACAGCATGGTGAGCGTGTCCACGCCCATCTCCGAGGTGTACGAGCGCGAGAAGGATGCGGACGGCTTCCTGTACATGGTCTATGCCTCTCAGGAGACTTTCGGCGTGAAGTGGTCGGTGTAAGACTAGGACGCGCGGCTCTTCTAGAATTTTTAAACCCTTACCGAGGGAAAAAGGGATGTTAGCAGCTGAGGTCGATCCGCTCATCTAATCACAGGTCAGCGCCACAGCAGCGCCCTTGTAGGAAGCCGTCTCGTGCTTCAGGCAGGCAGAAAAACTGAGCTCCCGGGAGCACACGGGGTTGGGAAACTCTCATTTCACCTAGGCTGTCTTGTTTTCAAATTTAGAGGTTCAAAAATAAAATACTTTGCATTCTAAATCGCCAGTCAAGTAGGCCTTGCGGTTATTTCAGCGCCCCGCCCCCAGCTTAGGCCCGCAGCTCCCGCTCTCAGGCCGGTCTTCCTGCCGGTCACAGGACCTGGCCGCACTCCCGGGGGGCTTCTGCGCTAGAGAGGCCTGTCCAGGGGCTCTGCGTGCTGCTGGTCAGCCCTTGCCTTCAGCCCCAGCCGAGAAAGCCAAAGGCACGTCTGGCAGGACGTCTGGTAAATGGGGCCTTGAGGACACTCAGCTGCTTCCCGCAAGAACCCGAAACAGCTCTGCTGCAGTGCTGGGCGGTTCCGACCCGGCTGGCTCCAGACAACTGCGCACAAAATCTCCACTGCTCAGCAGAGCCTGGAGTAAAGGGTCACTAGGGTATTGCTGCCCAGGTCAGGGGGCAAGTAGCGTTTCTCCTGCTCTGTGTCCCCAGAGTTCCGACGTGCCTGCTCTGGGTGACTGAGCCGTTGGCTGAGTTTTGTTTCGGGGGCAGGACGCCGAGAGGGCACTGGAGCCCGGTGTGCCCCTGCTTCCTGCTGGCAACTGCAGTGGGCCCTGCTGCGTTCCAGAAGCTCTCACACTTTAAGAGGAGGCCAGTCGCCGCGGTTGAGGTCGACCAGCCCTGCCCGAGTGCGCGCTCAGCATGAAGAAAGTGGCAGGAGGCAGTGGCACCCTCAGTCCAGAGTTACCTCCTTGGCCTCCCCGGCAACGCCAGCCCCTGCCCCTGCGGGCCCTATCCACGGGGCGAGGCACAATGCCCACCCCGGCCCCCGCCCGCCACCATCTGGGCTCTGCACGGCTGCACACACCTGTGCCAGGGGTTCGCGGTCAGCAAGTGCGCCTCCCTCTGGCCCAGCCCGCCGCGAGCTGTCGCTCCCGGTGCTCTGCAGCTTACCTGAGAGCCCTGTGAGGGCCCTGCCGCTCCCATCCCGCTGAGGCCCACCAGGCGTGGGAGCTGGAAGGCACGACTGGAGCTGTCAGAGCTCGGTTCTAGGTCATCTCTGGGCACACGCCCCTGTGCACCTTGCAGGCCCCAGAGGGTCCTTTCTCCCAGCACAGCGCCAACATGGGGGGGAGGGGCACCTCCCTTTGCCCAAGGCCCTGCCTGGGGGCTGCCTTTAGGAAACCGAGTCAGGGCTCCGGGCACTCCCCAGGGGAGGGTGGCAGCGGGGATCCAGCCCTGGAAGGCGCCTGCATGAGCGCACTGGGCCGGAGGGCCGGAGGGCGAGAGGCGTTTCCTGTGCACCAGGTGAACCTGAAGCCTGACCCGGCCAGAAGGGCCGGCATCATTCCCGCGGCGCGCTTGGCCCACGGCTCAGCCAGGCAGGACGTCTGCGTCTGCCCGCGGTCCCTGCTTGCCCAGCCGCTTCTCAGCAGAGCCCAGGCGCCCCGCACCTCCCACGCAGGGCCAGGCGGCGGGCGCGGGGCACGTTGGCGAGTCTGGAAACACGGGAAAGACACGCGATCTGTCTGTGGAACCGAAGCTGGGACGACTTTAGCCCAGGTCCAAACCTGCCACCTGTGCCACGGCAGGGTCCTGTCCCCCGCAGACCACGGCCCACTCGGGAAGGCGCGGCTCCGCCAGGCAGATCTGGTGACCACACCGCCTTTTTTTTTTTTTTTTGGTTTTTATTTTCAGTACATTAAATTTACTCATAAAAACATTCTAAAAATGTACAATTTTTCCTTTTTAACAAAGTATAATAAAACATAAAAACCCCAAAAACAATACTTGACATTTACAATTCAAAATCAAATTAGCAGAATATTAAATATTTACAAAACTATATCTTTTAAAAATATTTATAAAGATACATGCAATTTTGTAGAATTGACATAAAAGAATGGCTCAAAAAGGGGAGTTTTCCTTCATTGCTAAATGAAAATTCTGTCCAGTAGAAACTGTAGGAGTCTAGAGCACACGAGGCCCCCAGTCCCGGCGCCAGTCCGTCCTGGAGCTTGGGGGCCCGCGAGGCTGGGGGCTGGTGGTCCAGACTGGGGCCGGGCCCCCCAGCACGGCCGTGTTCACTTCCGGCCTCCACCCGCACAGCGCGGAGTTTCCCGAGTGATGATTCCAGGTGCTCCCCTGCACCCAGGACCTCGCCGCTCCAACAACGGGGCCTCTGCGGGACCCGGGGCTCCAGACACCGCCAGCACCGCCTCAGCCGCCACAGGCCCGCCCGGGAAGGAGTGGTCGAGCAGGGGCCCTGCTCCCGCACCACCTGAAAGACTCAGCAGGTACCGCGCTCAGGCCGCCGGGGAGAGACCGGAGGCCTAGGAGGGGCTGCCTGCCGGATGGCGGCCAGCTCGCCCCGGACCCCCAGCTGCGCAGCAGGCCGACGCCCAGAGTCTCCCGGCGGTGGTAGATGATGCTGGTTTGTAAATACCCAACCACGTATCTGCTTGCAAGGAAATAACCGTCTTCACCGAAAGTGCTACCTCCCGTGTCCTCTGCTCTTCGGCAGCTAGGAATTTGAACACGTCAACACTTCCCCATTTTCATTATCATCACGAAATAAAAATTAGAAAGGAAGGTAGAAAATTGAGCGTTTGGCTTAAAAAAACCAAGGGAGGTTCAACAGTCAGCCCCGGCACTGCGCGGCGCGCTGCCTGCGGCGGGCGTGCTGAGGCCCGGCGGGTCCCCAGCGGGCGCAGGGCGCTGCCGGCGACGGACTTTGGTTGCTTTCAGAGGGAGCCATCGAGGCAGCGCTGCTGCGGGCCCGTGTCCACCGGGGGCGGCCGCCTCGAGGAGCCCGCCCCGGCCAGGGGGCCTCACCGCCACCTGAGCGTCACGACCAAGCGGAAGTGTCTGTTCTCGCCTGCTGTTGGGTTTAACCTCCAGTATTTGTCAAAATAGTTACAAGGGTAACAGGTAACTTCCATTCCCCAATACTGACCACTGAAACCAAAAACCTAAAACGCTTTCCTTTGCTCATGAGACAGTTTTCAATAACTTCACCGTGTGGAAACAGGATTTATTTAAAATATTTCTTTGTTTAAAAAAAACCAAAAATTTTAAAAGTTTGGCTTTCAGCACATATCCAGGCCACTGAACGGCCTCAGAAATATTAGTCGTAAACATCAGTGAACCCACCAAGTCTTCCTTGAACGCGGTGCCAGTCCCGTCTGGTGCTCTTTAAGGCAAAGTAGTGTCGGTTCCCACTGTGACCCTCGTCGTGTTTGTGGTTCAGATCACGTGACACTCCCCAAGAAGCTGCTGCGCGTCACTAACACCTTCACTATGTAACACTGTGCCGGGGGATACAGAGCTGTCAATTCTGCATTGCATAGAAATAAAACTCTACTAAAATAAAACTCTAAAAAATTCTACTAAAAGCCTTTTATAAAAAAAGTAACAACTTTCTGCTTTAAGCTTCCACGAAGCAGGGACGGATCTCGGGATCTGAAGCTTCATGTCACGAGGCCTCGCGTGCTGGGGGGTTCTCTCCATTAACATCAATTCGCATGAGGCTGATTGTGCACTTTTAAGAATGGCGTGGGTCTGTGAGTCTCATTCTTTACATGAATATCCACCTGGAAAGATCCCTGGGCAAGGCCTTATCAGCCAACATCGGAACATCGAAGGCTTTAGCACTGACAATGGCGACGTGGGCAGAAAACCCCCTGCAGCCCTTGCACGTCCTTGGACTTAGGTGTTCTCGCCGCAGCGGCGGCTGAGGGCTGCGCGGTGAGGCCAGACTGTGCAGGCTCCTGGCTTGGGCCTGTGCCATGGACCCTGGCGGCGGCGTGGCACTCCCCGCATGGTTTCCAGGTGACTGTCCACGGAACTGTCCACCAGCCCAGCACGGAGAAGTGGCGAGGAGGCGGCTCCCGTCAGCCGCCCGTGAGGCAGGACTGTCTTGCCCGTGCCTGCTGGTCAGCCTCGGGCCACGGAGTCCAGTGAGGAGGCCTCACCCACGCTGCTGCGGACACGGCATCGGCTGAGCAGCCCGGGGGGCTCCTCTGGGTGGAGAACGCAGGGTGGTGCTGCGGGGGCCTGGAGGAGGGCTTCTCGGTGCTCTGCCCACTAGGGCGTCTCGGGACTTGGACCCTTAGAAATCATCTGTTGCGAATGACTATTTCTATTTCTATTAATGTAGTATCATTTTATTTGCGGGAAAAAATTAAAGACCTGAAATGCTACAAGTGTCTCAGCGAGGGAAGGACACTCAGCCTCTGCCGCGCTGGCCCGAGCGGCCGCCAGCCCACGTTCTCCTGCGGCGCGGCCCTCGGGAGGCCGGAAGGCGGTGCCTGGCTGCCTCAGGAGCACAGCGAAGGTGACAGGCCCCAGCTGGGGTGTCGCGGCCCGCGGCGGCCCCACAGGCAGAGGGCTCCGCCCCTCAGTTCCCGACCGTCTCGTAGCTGCCCTGGAATTTCGCGTGAGCCTGGAAGGACTTGGCACGGCGACGTTCCCCGGGAGACGGCGGGTTCGGCGTGGCGACCACCGCGGCCGGGCGCCCTCGTGGAGATGCTCGCCCGCTAGGCCCATCCCGACATCAAGCTCCGACCTGGATTTTGGCAATAAACCGAGTTCGCTGCACTCCTACGCTAGGTCTTCCATCCAGTCTATAAAGTAAAGCACCTTTGGATTAAAAATATTAAGCTCAACAGCAACTAGACTCTCAGTTGTGTATTTAATTTTCCGTATGTCTCCATGGCTTATTTGTGTTCTGCTGCCAGGGAAAAATATCAATCTGTGGCGTCCAGACCGTCTGCGGGAGGGGCGTATTTCAGCCTGAAAGTACCTGCAAAGGGGGGAAAGATGACACCTGAGTCCCCGTGACGCACGCGGAGCGCACTGTCCAGGCTACGTCCCGAGTCACTGCCACCGTCGGACACGGGACCTGGGCCCCCGGTCCACCTGCCCCGGCACCCCCTGCCTCCCCACCCACACCTCGGTCAGGGGCGTTGGCTGGGGCTCAGCCAGCACAAGGCCAGGGGCCGGGGGTGGGGGGTGAGGCCCCCAGGGCCCACGCCCACCCCAGCCCAGCCCCGCGCCGCCATCTCCACACCATGAGCGGGACAGGGGGCCTGCTGACAGCCGCAACGCTGCCGAGGTCACCCGCTGGCAGGGCTGGGGTGGGGAAGAGGCGGCGGGCGGCCGCGGGCAGCGGGCACACACAGACACTGCGGCCCGCCCGGCAGGGCTCGGGAAGAACAGGAGGCCCGAGGCCGAGAGGCAGCCGAGAGCCGGACCTCCCCACGGCCTGGGCAGCGTGTGGGTCCCAGCCCGTCACCCATCTCGCTCGTGCTGTCCAAGAGCGTTCAGAGTGGTCAAGGTTGGCGTCACAGCGCAGCGCCGGCCGTCACGCCACGCAGCCGGCCCGCCTGTCTCCGGGGGCGCTGCCCGGCGGCCGCGTTACCTTGCCGGTTGAAGTCCATGGGCGGCTGCTTGCAGTCCTGCGCGCGGTGGCCGGTGGCCCCGCAGTTGTAGCACGACAGGTTCCCGCTCTTCTTGTGGCCGGAGCCGCCGCCCCCGCCCCCCAGCCCCTGGGCCTGGTACACGCCCGCCGCCCCCGCCATGAAGCTCTGCAGGGGGGGCACGGCGAAGGTGGACTGGCCGCTCAGCACGGGCTCGGGGGGCGCGGCGCCGCTGTAGGGCGAGTGCACCACGGGGAAGGCGCCCCCTCCGTACTGCTGTGCGCCCACGTAGCCGCCGCCGCACACGGGGCTGAAGGGCAGGAAGGGGAAGGGGAAGACCGAGGGTCCCGAGAAGGGGTGCTGGAAGTAGTTGGCGTAGCTGACGGTCAGGCCGCTCGAGCCGCAGCTCCCGCTGCAGCCGCAGGAAGTGCACACCACGCAGCCGGGCGGTGGGGCGGGCGGGGCGGGCGCGGGTGGCGGCGGGTGGTGGTGGTGGTGGTGGTGGTTCTGGCCCGAGGCAGCGATGTTCCCAGGGGAGCCCCCACCGCCGCCCCCTCCGTAGAAGCCGCTGTCCGGGCCGGAGGAGAGGGCGGGGCTGGAGCTGGGGGCCGGGCAGCCGGGCCCCGGGGCCATGTTGGTGAAGGACGCGGAGGGGTGGGTGCCGGAGGAGGCAGTGCTGCTGCTGGCACAGAAGCTGCCCTGCAGGGGGCCCAGGGCCGGGAAGGCCGCTTTGGTGCTGGCGGTGTACAGGGCCGTCCGCGGGCTGATGACTGCAGGGGGCACGCTGATCTGCACGCTGCTGGCGCAAGACGTCTGCCCCGAGAGGGCGGCCTCCGTGGGCGCAGAGGAAGACACCAGGAGCTTGATGGGGGCCGGGCCACATGGAAGACGGCGCCCGAGGAGCCCGCGGAGGCGCTACTGGTCTCCACCACCAGCGCCGGCGGCGGGGCCGGCTTCATCGCCCGCTCCAGCGTGGCCGCATGCACGGCTTTGGCCCGGGGGCCGAAGGAGACGGCGGGGGACATGGCGCTGCTCTCGGCCAGCCCAGAGAGGACTGGCACAGGCTGGTGGGGGGTGGGCGTGGGCAGCACGTCCATCACGGCATTGCCGAAGCTCTTCTCCACCTTAAGGCCACCTCTTGGTCCGGAGACTTTGCCCCTGTCCTCCAGAGACAGCAGCGAGTGCATGGAGGACGACAGCAGCTTCACGTCAGTGCTGCCCCGCTCGGCCTTGTGCATGGCGGCCAGCATGCGCAGGGGCGCCGCGTGCGGGGCAGCCGGCAGCATCTGTGCGGGCAGCGCGTGGAGGCTAGACGGGGCGGAGCCTGCCTCGTTCTGCACAGGCAGGACCTGGGCCGTGGGGCGGGCGGAGCTCGACGGGAAGTGGCTCAGGAGCATGACGGGCTTCTCCTTGTCGGGGGGCCCCTCCAGGCGCAGCTCCACACCTAGGGCAGGAGCACAGCGTCAGCCTGCAGCGCGGGCGGGGCCGAGTGGCGCACGCGAGCCCGCAGCTCCTTACGTCGCTCGTTCTCCTCGGCGCTGTCGGAGCTCTCCTCCCGGGCCTGCACCCCCATTGGGCTGGGCGAGGAGCTGGAGCACTCAGAGGAGCTGCCCTCCCGGGCCGTCTGGTGAGGTGGCTGCTCCACTTCCACCCGCAGCGCTGAGGGGACACAGGCCGAGTCACCCAGGGCGGCCTTGCACAAGCTGCCACCCCACACTGGAACGCTGGCTGCGGGGCCAGCAGCAGGAGGCAGCGCCTCACCCCACACCCAGGGCGGGGGTCTCGGGACAGCAGCACTGGGCACAGCGGGGGCCGCCCCCACCCCACAGGGCCGTCGGGCCCTCCGCTGCCACAAACTCCAAGACCCCAGCTGATGAGCTGAGAGCAGAGCTTTGGACAAACCACCACCGAAACGACTGCTGCGTTTCCTCCCCCGCCAGTGCTGCTCCCGCTACTGCCACTGTGTGTGTGGGATCAGCACCGAGGCCGGCAGGACGGCGGGTGCCCACGGGCAGGGGCTGGGAAGGGACAGGCTGCTGAGCCCCCGCGCCCCGGGCTGGCTGCCCAGTGTCATGTCTTGGCCCAGATGGCTGCCGGCAGCCACCAGGCCCTGCTCTCCCCGCAGTGAGGCCCGGGCGAGAGCCGCCAGCAGCGTGGCCCGAGCGCTGCGCATGGCCGAGGACGGGACCGCGGGGAGCCGGCCCGAGAACCGCATGGCAACGCGGCCGCGGACCCACCTGCGGCGGGGCTACCCCGCACCGGCTGCACGGGCCCCACGTGGCTGGTGGGGGGCACGCGGGCCACTCCACTGCTGGGGACCGGGGGCGGCGCCGAGGGGTTCAGGCACCGCTTCTCAGACTTCTCCCTGCAACGGCACACATGGGACGGGCACGTGAGGCGGCCGCAGAGGTCGTGGGCCGGACGCCCGCCCTGCCCTGACCCAGCACCGTCTGACGGGAGGTGCAGCCAGGCAGGCGCAGTGGGCGGCGTGACCGGGACCCAGCGTCCCGCCTCGGGGGCAGAGCCACAGCCAGCTCGGACTTACTTCTCCAGCTCTAACTGAGTCTTGAGCTTTTTCTTTGCTCCCATGGTGAGGGATTCAAATTTATTCAGGTCTTCCTCAGTGAGGCTCAGGAACTTCCAAAGAGGAAAGAAACGACGTTACTGAGGACTTGGGGAGCTGAGAGGAAAGCACGTGGGGCGTCTCCCCGACAGCAAGGCACAAAGCCGGGTGCAGGAGGCACCTACCGCTGAATACGCCGGCGCCCACAGTTCAAGCCCAAGACACTCGCCCTGTGGGGGTCCAGGCTGCATCCCCACAGCCTGCTCCCCCGGTCGCCCCTCCCCCCCCAGGGAGACCAGACCCTGGGAGGGCAGGGCTGCGGGAAGCGACTGGTGAGGGTGCCGGCCCCCCCAAGTGCAACCCGTCTCTCCTGCAGACAGGACAGCCTTCTGCTAAGGGCTGCGTCCCCCCAGTCGCCCTTATTTTAGGGACAGAAGCGACTGTCGGTAGTCAGTGCCCCAGAAAGTGGTGCCACCCACCACCTGTCTCCCCGATGGCGCCTCCTCGGACCGCAGCTGCTGCCCACACAGTCAAGGGCTGTCTAGCTGGGTCGCAGCCCGCACACTGGACAGATGGAGACTAGTGACGCCTGCGGCCTGTGAGACTTACGAGTCCTCAACAGAGTAGGAGCAACTCGGGTCTCCCTGGTGGCGCAAGGGGTTGAGCACAGCACCGTGAGGCTGTCCGCAGTCTCTGCACCACAAGCTTGACCCCCGGCCAGGGCGCTGCCCACATGGCGCGGCAGACCTCTCCTGTCTTGCCCGCTGCTCCCCTCAGCAGTGGATTTCAGTGGCGCCTCCTGTTCTGCTCCCCACTCTGTCTCTGGTGAGTCCTCTCACCGCCTCCCCCACACCCCTGGCCTGTACCCCAGCTCTTGTACGCATAAATAAATAAATCTTTCAAAAAAAAATAAACGAGTAGGGGTAACTCACTGAACTGTGCTTTCTATTGCCGTGAGCGCCCCACCTTGGCAGGCCCACACCGTGACCAGTCAGCCGCTGGCCCAGGCCCCGCCCTGGCCGGCAGGGGGCGCTCCGGGTCACGCACAGGGTCACTTTACTAGGGATGCCCTGACTTAGGCAGCTTCGGTGTCTGTAACAATGAAATTCTGCCCTCCTCAAACTCTCTACTGTGAAACATAATCTCCATCCTCCTGCTTGAAAAGAGAACCGTCCACTCCCTCAGCTACGCAACGGTGAGTCCAGACCCGCGGGCAGCCCTGCGCTGACCCCAGGCCCTGCTCCCACTGCCCTGGCTTCACTTTGGCGGCGCAAGACCCTGGCGGGCACCCACAGAGGCACAGGCCAGGGCGCGAGCTCACGCCTGGCTCCTCCCGGTGCAGCAGCAGCCTGGGCCTCACCTTCTCCATGGTGAGCTGCTTGAAGACTGGGTAGTACTTGTGCAGACGCAGCTTCCGCAGCCAGTCCAGGATCCCGTTCTGCTCCTGCGTCTGGGGGGTCTGCAGGCCGGACGGCAGCAGGATGGTGGGCGTGGCGTCCATCTGCGTGCGGTAGGCCCCTGCGTGGGAGCAGTGGGCCACGGCGGGGGCACTGGCCGCGTGCGGCAGGTGGTGCTGGGGGCCGCTCTGCGAGGACGGGATGCCGGCCACACCGCACACAGGCCTGCGGGCAGCACAGGGCCCTCAGCGGAACGCGGCTCGTGCACGACAGACCCCCCTCCCTGCTGCTGCCTCCCACCCACAGGCTGCAGGTGTGGCAAATGGGTGCTGCAGCTGGAGTCACTCCTGGACTTCAGGACAAGCTGTTGCTTCTGCCACGAGGTGATACTGACAATCACAAGTGAAAAAGGGCCCCAAAATCTTGAACGGCCAAGTAAGTGGCTTTGGAAGACTTTCTATTCTCTCCGGCCCCTCCCTGGCGCTGCAGACCCACCTCCACCGGCGGCCTGCTCACTGACGGCCAGCGAGGAGGTGGTGACTTGCTGGCCTGATGGGCACTGCCACATGCCCAACGACAGCGTTGACCAGGTGTCGGCCCCCCATCCCTCAGATGCCCCCTCGCCACCGGGCACCGCCGTCCAGCCTCATGCTGACGGAGGACCCCAGGGCAGTAGCCCTGACACTGCCCAGCACGTCCCCCTGGGAGCTGAGAGCCGCATGCACCAGAGCTCTGGGTCCCGGGTGGCCCTGAGCAGGCCTGGGGATCCACCCCCTCTGTGGGGACTCAGGGAATGCGCTGTCTTTGTCCAGCGCAGCTCTGGACAGTCCTGACCCCAGGCTGAGGCTTAGAACGACTGTGCCCTCTAGAGCAGGGCCTCGGACACGGCTGGAACGGCGCTGGCGCAGGCCTGGCCTCACCTTCCAGACACGCCCACCACGGTGCCCACTTTAGGGAGCGGGGGGTTGCCGGGACCTGCAATTGGAAAGGAAGATGGCAGCGCCCGCAGGCAGAGGAAGCCCAGCCGTGCTCCCGCAACCACACTCTACACTCACTTGGACTCTGAAGCTGTTGGGCAGGAGACGACGGGCTGAGAAACCTCTTGACGTGGTCGTTCTTCAGCACGTGGGAAGGCAGGGCAGCCAGACACCTGGGGAGCAGAGGAGGCGACGCCGCTGAGACAGCGCAGCGCCGCTCGGGAGGGAAGGCTTAGTCTCAGGGAAGAGAAGCAACCACGGGGGGAAGCAGACGGCGGTGGGGCCGCACGTCCTCCTGGCCAGCCCAGCGGGGCGGCCCCGTCCCGCCCTGTCCCCCGGCTCTGGCATGGGTGTTACCTCAGGTCGGGCTCCAGATCCCCATGGTTTCGCTCTACATAGAAGGCGTCTGGGCCAGCCAAGCAAGGAATGAACTTCTCCAGGTTCTCGTCGGGGTACAGCTGAGACAGCTGGGGAGCAGGCACAGTGGTCAGCTCACCGGGCCGGACGGTACAGCTGCAGACCCTCGACAGGTCGCACGGCAACTGCTGGGACGCTGCCAACGCTGTGCTGCCAGCGACTTGGGGCCCTGCCTCTGCATCCCAACGGCCCCCACCATCGCATCGGAGGCGGCCTGGCCACCCACAGTCCCTAGGCCCGCAGAGGGCGCCTCCCCACATGACCTGGGCGCCACAGGACCCGTCTGGAGAAGACGGACGGTGCCGCAGTGGTCCAGCGTGGGGGCCAGGCTGGCGACAGGAGGTAGCCAGTGGACATGGCCCAGCGCGGCCACCACGGGGCCCGAGGCTTCCCCGAGGTGCCAGGGAGGGTGCAAGGCTCCTGCTCCGAAGACCTAAGCCAGGCCCTTGTTTCTGGGGGGAAGGAGCGGGAGGGCAGTCGCTTCCTGCCAGTGGGGGAGGGGCAGGAAGGCCTCCTGGCAGCAGGCCACAGGCGGCACCGGCCACTGGAGGAGGACAGAGCAAAAGCCTTCGGGTCCCAAAAAGCCCTGCCAGGCCCAGGAGCCTGCAACCACACGCAAGCACGGTGGCGACAGCCGGCAGGCGGGCAGATGAGGTGCGGGGCAGGCCCACCCGCATAGGCCCCATGCCCGACTCGGCCTGGAGCCAGACGGTGGCTGCCGCGTCCCCCAGGCCGCAGCAGTCCCTGGGGAGGCTGGCAGAGGGCAGCTGAGAACTGGCGTGCAGGAGGGCACCGGAAGGAGCCTCTGACACTCCAGGCCCTGGAGACTCAAGCAGGAACCCGAGGCCTGCAGTGCATGGGAGGTCCCCACAGCAGCAGCAGAGACCGCCCAGCTCAGTCCTGCCCACTCGGGCTCCAGGACCGCGGGGTCTGGTGACACAGGCAGCCCGTGTCCGAGCCCAAGCACATGTCCCCAACCTGAGGCCCAACCTTCTGTCAGATACGAGACACGCCAGGAAGAGCACGGGGGGCAGACACCACCGCGCCGTGACCGTCGGAGCACTCAGAGCCACCAGGCGCAGCCCGCGGGCGGGGTCGGGCACTAACCGTGGCGACGGGCTGCGGACGCAGGAGGAGGGCAGCATGCACGCACACACAGGGTGCCGCGGAGAGGTGGGGACGTCACCAGAAGACAGGTCCAGAGGAAGAGAGAGGAAAAGCCAGAACCGAGGCCGCGGCAGTGGAGGAGGTCGGCACGGGGCCCCGGCTCCGCAGCCACCGACGGCACAACCGGGCGAGGAGCCGGAGCACCCGGCGGCCAGCCCAGGCCCGCGTGCGCGAACGCCGGCCAGGAGAAGACAGCGGGCAGAGGAGATCACGGACACGAACACCCCCGGGCAGCAAACTGGACATCTGGGAAGGCCAGCGCTCCCAGAGCATGGTGAGCACGGCCCCAGCACCCCAGACACGACCGGGCCCAGCGGGGCCCTCCTGACGCGGCGCGAAGCCAGGCGCTCGGCACAGTGGGGGTGGGGGGCCGAGTGTCCCCAAGGCCGGAGGGGCCGGCGAGCTGGGACAAGCCCCGCCCCCGCTCAGCACCCCACTGGGGCCACGGCTGACGCGCTGGGATGCACCAGCGCCAGCCCCGCCCAGGACGGAGGCGGCGGGACATGCGCGCGCACATCCAGGGGCCTTCTGCCGAGGGGACAGCAAGGCCCGGTGCGGGGAGCGAGAGACAAGGCGGGGGCAAGTGCCCCGGCCCCGCACACAGGAGCAGGCCTGGCGCCGGGGTGTCCGGCAGGAAGCCGGCCCTGGACCCCGGATGGGTGGGCCCCGTCAGGGGAAGGAGAGCCTGTGGGTGCACTAAGAGCCCTCGCCACCTTACCTTTGAAATAAATTCAGTCACTTCAGAGGAAGATTTGGTTACTGATGTTATTGAAGAATCAGACCACAAGACCTTAAACACAAACAAACCAACCAACCTTAAACACAGACACACATGCTTCATCCTCCAGAACCTGCGCAGGCGCCGCCGGCCAGCAGGAGCCCAAGTGCCCTGCACGGGACTCGCAGTCCCGGCCGTGGAGGCGCTCCCCAGGCTCAGGACGCTGACTGGGGCCTGAGCCAGCCTCGTGCCCGCACGCGAGCACCCCCAGCACGGCCAGGGTGAGTCCTGGCCACGACATCCCTGCAGGCCCTGCCCGCAGCTCAAGGACTCTGATGTTGGAGCCGCCCACGGCCTGGGCTGTGCACTGTGCCAAAAGCGCGAGCTGCTCAGACAACCCGGCCTTTCCTCAAGCAGTGCCTGCGCCTGGCTCCCAAGCGCAGAGGCGTGGGTGCCCAAGCCCCTGGAGGTGGAGCCTACAGCCTCTCGCCCACGCTCACTCCGGCAGGCTCCTTCTTCCAGTGCGAAGCTGAGGGGGTCGGGGTCCTCCCTTCCCAGGCCACAAGCGACCAGTCCAAGGGCTGGGAGCAAAGCAAGGCCCAGGGTGGTCAGGTGGTGGGCCGCCCGCCCAGGATGGCCACTGCTGGGCACTTCTCAGACAGGCAGCCCCCAGCCGCCCAAAGCCGCGAGGACAGCAGGGTGCTCATGGGTCACAGCATCAAAAACCTCCCCAACCCATGTCGGTGTCCCCCACACTCAGGGACTCCCCAGAGAGACGAGGGAGGGGACCTTGGAGGTGGTGGACACTGACACCCCGTGGGGGGCTGGGGTGGCATGTGGATACGGGCAGGCGGCCTCTGAGGGCCAGAGCTTCCCTGCCCCTTGAGGCCTGACCGGTAGAGAGGAGGTGGGGCGTAGAGGCGGACCCTGCTGGGTGCAGAGCTGTGACTCGGGGCAGCTCCCCACACACATGCGCGGCTCCCGACCCTCCACTGCCCTGGGCGCCGGCGACAGGAGCAGGATGGTCCTGCGCACACGGCGGGGGCAGAGGCCTGGCTGCCTGGAGCCCTGCCCTCGCGTGTGGACGCTGCTCTGAGGCTGGGGGGAGTGCCCCCAGGCCAGAGCCCGTGCGGGGCCGGGATGGGGCTTGGTAAAGACCCAGCTTTTATTTAAAGAAAAGCACCTGTCAGGGTAAGACGCCCTCCCCGTGCCTCCGGAGAAAAACGAAGACGATGTGCGGCTCACCTCAAAGGAACACTCGATGTTTCTTTCGTTTTTCTTGTGGGCCAACCCCTTCAGGTCTATCTTCTCGACGGTCACTGAGAAAGGGAACAGCAAGCACTGTCACGGGGATGAAGCGGACCCTCCGCACACGTGACCCGCCGGGCTTGCCGCCTCGAGTCCTCGGCTGCGCCGCCCCCCTTGCAGAGACCAGCAGCCACACGAGGCCCACGCGCCGGGACCCACGGCCCCGCAGGACGCAGCCGCCTCCACCCACACCGGCCACTGCGCGCGCGGCCGGGCAGCAGGCTGGACAGACCCATCTGCAGGGGAGCCTCTCACGCACCAGGCGCTCTCAGAAGCCTCCCTAATGCGGTGAGGCGGCATCGGGGTCAATACACCCTTTGGGAGACACCCGTAACCGTTCATTTTGCGGTATTTTAAGCTTAAAAATAGCACCTTCTAGGAAAAAAATACTCTGAAAAGTAAGAACGCGCTTCCTTCCTGGCCAAAGCAGAAAACACAACGCGCAGAGGTTGCTCAGCCCCGTCTGCTCTCAATGAAGCAGCTCACTGCGCCTCTCGCTTCCTCAGACGGAAACAAACAGCTCTGACGTCTCCAAGCCGGCGGGCTCAACACCTGGCCACAAAGACATCCCCGTCCTCTTGGAAGCAGCAGAGCCCCGTCGTGAGTGCGGCTGCTCGTCCCTGGCCAGAGAGCAGGACGGGCCAGCCCCGCCCCTGCCACGAGAAAGGCCACACACAGGCGGCTGCTTCCAGTCAGTGCCCGGGGCCCATGCCCGGGAGCCCTGGCCGCTCACCTTTGCAGTGCTTCCCCGCCGACCTCTTGGGCAGCGCCTCCTCAGGGGGCCGCGCGGACGTGTGCAGGGCCTTCTCCAGGCTGTTGCTGACGCTGCTGACGGGGGTCTCGGTCCGTGGAGTGACCTGAGAACAGAAATATCATCAGCTGGTTTCCCCCCACTCAGTTCCCAGGGTGACGGTCAGGATGCGGCGGCAGGGCAGATGGACGCCAGAATGGGGAAGGCAGGGCAGGGGGAAGGGCCACGAGACCAGACGTGGGGGCAGTTGGGCAGCTGGAACGTGCCACCCCACGTCCAGAGGACACGGCGGCTGGTGCTTTGCTCCCCTGGTCAGCGTTCAGTATGTGTCGAGGTTCTCGGGACACAGAGCAGCTGTGACCATGCTTGGCCCCAGGTGGGCAGGCGCTGCTCTGTGCACACTTGGGGGCTGGGGCTGGCGCCGGGGCCGAGCAAGGCCTCGCAGAGAGGCGGGGGCACACCACGCAGGGAGCCCCGAGCTTACCGAACAGAGGACACCCCCACCCCGAAGGCCACTGGAAAGTCAACCCTTCCGATGAACTACCAAGACTGCACCCAGCAGCTGGTCCTGACACTGCACTGGGCCCTGTCACCAGAGGGGCCATCCGGCTGGGAGGCCCCCAGAACCACTCTCAGGAGAGGCGCTGAGGCCATGGTGGATTCTGCCCCACTGGTCTGACCCCTAGTGGGCTCTGGACCCCGGCAGTGAGCCTGGGAGTGGCCCAGGGTCCTGGTCCCAAGACGGGCAGGGAGCCAAGGGTGTGGTCCCGGGCCTGCTGGGCCGCGCCAGCCCCCTCGCCCGCATGCCAGGCACGGGCCCGCGGCTAAGCCTCCGTGGGGCCCCGGGCCTTGGCCAACCCCAAGCCCCACACACCCACCAGGACCTGGGGGGTGGGTCTGTGCACGTTGTGAGAAGCCCCCGGGGCGGGTCAGTTCCCAGCAAGGACCAAGAGGCCTGCGCGGGCCAGGTCACCACTCCACCAAGCAACAGGAAAAGCCACAGGCCCAGCAGCTGCGGCCACAGACAGGAGGGGCCCGTGGCCACCCTTGCAGACCTCGAGGCACAGGACGGATGCAGGAGAGGCCTCCTGAGTGTGACCACTGGCGGGGAGCCCGCAGCTGCTGTTCTCGTGGTCTCTCAGCACCTTTCCTCCCCACGCGCCAAACGCTCTGCATGATTTATTTTATTTATTTATGCATACAAGATCTGGGGTGCAGGCCAGAGATGGGGGGTGAGGGCTCCCCAGAGACAGAGCGGGGAGCAGAACAGGCAGAATGACTGAAACCCACTGCTGAGGGGAGTGGCGGGGAGACAGGAGAGTCTGCTGCGCCCTGTGGGTCAGCGCCCTGGCTGGGACTAACCCTGCGCCCCAGGAAGGCCCCAAAAGCTCACTTTTGGCCAAGCAGGCCTGGGTGCTCACCCTGCTCCTTTGTTTACACTGACCACCATCTTCGTCTGCCTTTCCCAGAAATGCTGTTTTGGGTTATTTTTGGCTGCTTCCCTCACCCACGTGACCCGCAGTCCAACCCAGATGCTCTGACTCACGCTCCCAGGCAGCGTCCGCCGTCAGCTGGACGGACACCACAGGAAGACCTGATCACTTCCACATGTCGCCTTCCTCTGCGGCCAGGGGCAGCCGCCCCGACTCTGCCCCTCGTGAGGCGCCAGCCCCTGGCTTTGCTCCTCAGTGGACGCGCACGTGCGCCGTACCTGCCGGCCGGTCTGCATGGGCAGCGGCTCCCAACCTGCTGCGCCTCCGCCGCCCCCACGGCCGCCCCTCGCCCTGCTCCAGCCGCGGCTCTGTGGCGCTGGGTCTCGTACTGCCCAGGCCTTGAACCGGCCGCCACCCCGGCGCCCACAGGGCCCCCCATGCCACGCCTCCAGGCCCCGCAAGCAGTGCAGATCGGTGCCCACAGCCAGGCACAGAGCCGGCGCCCCAGTGTCCCACACGTCAGGGACGCAAGGAGCAAGCAACAGCAGTGGCAGCGCGGTGGGCCCTGGTCCTGGACGGCAGCTCCGCCTGGCCGGGCGTCCATCTCCCCGCCCCCAGCTTCAGCAGGGCGGGGCCCAGCCATCCGCGCGGGGTGTGACTGGGAGGGTCTGGGGAGGGGCCCCAAGTGGGGCTCCCAGGGGCTCTGCAGCACCTGGTCACAACCACACCCATCCCAGCCCGGGGGTGGGGGGGGGGTGCGTCCCGGGAGCTGGGCCTGGGCAGAACCCAGAGCAACCAGCTGCCGGCCCGGGGCCAGGAGCCCAGATGAGGCAGCCGCGGCCTGGGGCACCGGGGCCAGGGGGCCCCTCCGCCCAGCACCCCTCAGATAATAATGTTTTTCAAAAAGGTGTTTCTTAGTCCAGGATGTCTGGTGAGAGAGACCTGCCGTCACAGGTGCGCCTTTAAGGTGGCGTGCTTGAGACTGTTTTAATGCTCCGGGGCCAGGGTCTTTTTGAGGAAAATTTCTGATTTTAAAGGTCTGTTTCCTGAAAAGCCCTCAAAGCCACAGGGGGCTGCTGCGCTGGCTGGCTGGACACTGAGCCTGAGGGCGGGGCTGGTCCAGACCCTCACCCCACAACGGGGGGTGGGGGGCTGTTGGGGGGGTTGCAGCCAGGCTGAGCCAGGCCCGCCAGCCCCCTGGGGAAGGCCACTGCCCCCAGGAGCAGGTGCTAAATGCACAAAATGCCCACATGAAGCCACAGATGAAGCCAAGGCCCGCCGTGCACACTCACCAGAGGTGCCGCCAGCACGCTGAGCACAGCCCCGGGTGGCTCCACAGCCGCCCGCTCGGGGCTCCGTCCCCCAGACTCCAGGACCCGCCTCTGCTTCAAGATGGGCTTGCCCGGGATGGGCGGTCAGCTGCCCAGACCCAGCGCGCACCTGAGACGGCCCATTACGGGAACTAGAGCCGGACCAGATGCCTTCCAGGTCGGCGCTCTGGCCTACCAAGAATCACTGCAGGACGCGCGACGGCGTGGGGCACCGCTCAGGAGCGCGGTGGGGGGGTCTGTGCCGGGGCGGACACTGCACCCCAGACAGCGTCCCCTGCGCAGTCGCCGCCTCGGGGAGACGGGAGAACTGGGGTGTCCCAACTCTCCTCCAAGAACCGCGACTTCTCTGATTTCTTTAAAAGTTCAACCTGGGTTGGGCCTCCCCGGTGGCGCAGCGGTTGAGCGCTGGGTTGCGAAGCTGCGCGCGGCCTCTGCGGCGCCGGTTCGATCCCCGGTGCTCCCGGCCACCAGAGGAGGGTCCCACATGGCGCGCAGACCTCTCCTGCCGCCCGCTGCTCCCCTCAGCAGTGTACTTCGGTCCTTCTGCCTGCTCTGTTCCCCGCTCTGGCTCTGGTGAATTCTCTCGCCCTCCCGCGCTTCTGACTGTACCCAGTGCATGTATAAACAAAACAAACAAACAAACCAGCAAACAAATAAATAAAGCATGCCTCTATTAAAAAAAAAAAAAAAAAAAAGTTCAACCTGGGCCTCCCCGGTGGCGCAGCAGGTTGAGCGCAGCACTGTGGAGCTGTCTGCAGCTTCTGCAGCACAGGTTCAATTCCCGGCCGGCCAGGGAGCTACCCACATGGCACAGCAGACCTCTCCTGACTCCCCGCTGCTCCCTCAGCAGCGTCTTTGGTCCGTCTGCCTGTTCTGTTCCCCGCTCTGTCTCTGGTGAATCCTCTCACCCTCCCACGCCTCTGACCTGTACCCCAGCTCTTGAATAAATAAATAAATCTTTAAAAAAAAAAATTGAAACCGTCAAATAGTCTGGAGCACGGACCTGGCCTCAGGTGCGGCACCATGAGGGCAAAGAGCAGCATGGCTGGGGCGGACGCCCACACATGGGGGCCTTCAGGGGCAGCAGTGCCCGCCCCACCCCAGCCACCCAGCCCTCGAGGGGCACCCGCAAGAGACCGCCCACCTGCCCGCCTGGGGCAAGAGCTGCAGGAAGAAGGCGCGGCTGGCCCGGCTGCCCTGCAGACCGACCTGGGCAGGGACCCGGGCTGCCCGTGGGCCCACTGCGTGCGAGGGGAGACCACACCAGATACTCTCAGGTCAACAGGAAAACACATAAAATCAACAAGAAACGTCACTGGTAAGCATTTTGCTAAACTGGTAACCGCACGTCTCTCAAAGCCAGAACGAGACGCTGAGACAGTGCAACAGCGCGAGCTCCGTGCTGGCTGGGCCGTGAGAGCCGGCGCCACCCCAGCCGCCCCGCATGGCCTTCCTGGTGACGGCCCTCGCCCTCCTGCTCTCGCTGGAGAGGAGGCGATCCCTGCCCAGAACCTCAGAAAGAACCTGGCCAGGTGAACCCCAGCGCATTCCACCAAGGGGCGCCGTCCCCTGGGGGGCCACATCAGAAACTCCAATTCTAGGCCCCCCCAGAACCAGGCAGGGGTACACAGCACGGCTCCAGGTGGGGGGCCGGCCAGCTCCCACCAAGGGCAGACCCTAGCAGGGGCTCCTGGGGCTCCAACCGGGACAGGCCGAAGTGCAGGAGGGCTCGGGAGCGCCCAGAACAGAGCCGCGGCGGGGACATGCGGGCAGGGGTGGGGGGCACAGGAGGGGGGGGGTCAGGTGGGCTGCGGGGCCACCGGGGCAGAGGGTGCACTTGGGCTTGGCACCTGAGGTGACACGGGTGACTGTCTCAAGACGCAGGCAGGAGGGGGCGCAGGCACAGGCCACGGGCAGTAGCGGGGGGCCCACCGGGGCGGTCGGCCAGGAGGCGCGGCAGGACGGCACGCACACGCCTTGGACATACACGGCTCACGGGCGGAGGGCGCTGCTGCCAGAGGGCAGGGGGCTGCGGGGGAGAAATGGGCCAAGGGGTCAGAGGGTGAGCCCAGCAGAGACCCCAAAGGGCAAGTGACCATCACGCGTTGGGGGAGCCCGAGGCCCCCGCTGGGTCTTCTGAAACCAACAGGATGGAGGCCCCAGGCCAAGCACCCCACACGCGTGTCTGGGAAGTCAGTTTTCTCTGAGAGACCAACCCAGTCAACAGGCGCCGACAATCGCAGGACCCGGCATCAGGCCAAGCCCCTCCGTAGCCGTGTGGAGTGGGGCCTGAGCCCACCCAGGAGACACCGGCGGGCCAAGGGGAAGGGCCAGCTGCCCAG